TGCGTTTTTTTAATATTTTGTGATTTTGCTATTAAAACTGAATTTATGTGGTGTAAGTGTGAAGAGCATGATATTTAATTAATAAATTTAATACACAAAATATTAATAATAAAAAGACAAACAAAAGTTTTACAAGACGTGTTTTTGTTTACTAAGAAAACTGTTTATTGATATTCTAAACTTAGGAAAGACTGGAAAAAAATAGAAAAATGTATGCCAACACTTAGTGTTTCATCTGGATTTTTAAACACGTGCTGCTTTTGAAAGTTTTGTAATTTTGATGTTGAAATGTACGAAAAAAATAATGCTGAAAAATAAAGCCAAAATGACAAAAAGAAATGAGTTAGCAGGAGTGAGTGCAACAGTAAACTGTTAGACCGCATGCCCAGCAAGAGCATGGGAAAACCTTGACAAACCCTTTAGGGCGACCGTTAAAAATCTGAGCCCTTTCAGATTTCTTATTTTATTTATTCTTTTATTTTTTCAGGGGAGGGACATATTCAAGCATGAAATATGCTTTTATTGACATGAAATATGCTTTTATTGACATTTTATTGACAAGCATGAAATATGCTTTCCATAGGTTTGTGCAAAAATTTAAACTCAGACATAATGAATTATAGTTGACAGATTTCTTAAAACCATGTGTCTAATCTGTACCTCATCATTCTAAAACAGTGATTCCTAACATTTTTCTACTTGCAAATCACTTCCTCTCATTAAATAACAGTCTCGAAAATGTATCGCTGATCGTCTACCAAGACCTCATAATTTCGGGAAAACGACATTTCTAAATCTGGGAGTTTTTAGTACGTTCAATGCTCATCTCTTTCTGCGATCATTAAATAAGTCTCGAAACGGTATCGCTGATTGTCGACTAAGGCCTCATAACTTCGAAAAATTGACATCGAACATGACTAGGTCTGGGCATGTGGTACGGTAACGCTCACCTGTACCTCGGCTCATTAAATAACAATCTCGAAAAGGTATCGTTGATTGTCGGACCAAGGGATCATAATTTCCAAAAAATCGAAATCGGTAGGTCCGGAAATTTGGTACGTTCACTTTCCTCTGTTCCTCCTCTCATTAATTAACAGTCCCCAAATGATGATCTCTTCCTTCTGCATATTGCTCAACTCTGCTCTAATTCGAAGCGGGAAAGGTAGAAGCTAAACTCCCCTTCCACGAAGAAAAGCCAGTAGAAAATTCTCCGTATCTCATTAAAAACAAGCTGCTGAAGAAAACCTTTCTCTGCAACTCAAAACAAGTAGCTGAACGAGACTTTCAGCCTCCCACCTTCAACAAAATCTACTCCTTCTTCATCTTTACTTTCACCAACTCCATATGCAACTCAAAACTAGTAACTGACGAAATCTGATCCCCCTTTCAACCAAAATCTCCTTTCCTTTAAATTCTCGCCTAATTATCAGTTATGTAGCAATGAACAAAGCAAATTCTCCTCATTTCAAATTAATTGGTGAATTTCAGTCTGCCACAACCTTATCCCAGCCAATAATACCTAAGTAAAAATTTACTAGGCACCTCACATCCATCTTTTTCAATAGCGTGCGATAACCTCAGAGTTCTTTCCTCTCCCTGGGGAAAAAATCGAAAAACATCACGCCCCGACAAAACTTCTCCTACGATGAAAAATAAATTTCTCTACATTTTCCATGTGCATAACGCATAACTAAGACTGGCGCCTATCTTCATTCAATACTTATTTTACAAAGATAGCCGCCTGCACACATAAGCAATCTTAACGTTTTTTTAAAGTTATTATCAAACACCGTAACGTGAAGACCGCCCAGTGGCCAAGTTCTTATAAAGGAAAAATTAAAACAATCTCGTTTATGGGCAACACAAAAGCAAAAGGGTCCTTTATTATCGTAAAAGAGCGTTATCCCAGAAGGGCTATTAATTTCGTTTTAGCATTTTGCGTCCATTCACTATAAACGGCGAATCTCTTTTCAAATTGCTGCCACCAAATATTATTGTCCTGTGTTATATTTAAAGAAATTAAATAATGAAGAATATGCATGAGTGTACATATGTTTCTCACATTGCGATAAAACAGCGGTATCAGAACCATCGAATTTTGAATGACGTAATCCTCCTACGAATATGGGCATCCAGAAGCCCTAATTTGGAATTTAAAATTTGTTTTATTACCGAGTTCATATTTTGTAGCACTTTAACGATTTTTTGAGTAATAAACTCAACGATTTCAAAACAAGCAATGCAACACTGTACGTAAAAACAAATTATCTCCAGCGCGCGAGAATGTGTATCGGAAATTCTACAGATATGCTCATTTTAAAATTATTTTGCGATATTGCTGTTGAATTGAATTTTATGGTTTAAGTGCAAGGAATATAATATTTAAAACACAAAGGTAACACACAAAACGTTAAAAACGTCCCTTTGGGCGTAATGCAAAATTTGAAAGCTTTCAGATTTTTTTTGTTTTATTCCCCTCCCCCCCTTTTTTTTTCTTATCTAGAATTTCCGAAACCAACTTCGCATCCTAACCTTATATTTTGCCGAGCAATTTCCTGTCAATGAATCCACAACTAGAAAAACCCCTGAGATCAGAATTTCTATGTAAGAAAAGACGGCAGTTTATGTCATTCGATTTTATAAAATTTGCATTTTTACATAATTATTTTATAAGGTATTTCTCCCGCCTTCTTAGCATGCCTTCGTGATGTAGTGGTCAGCACACTCGGCGCGTATTTGAGAGGTTAGAGTCCCGGGGAAGGCATCGCTCATTTTTCATCTCTCCTACTTCGAAATAAACTGATGTGTCTACAGTGGCGCCTGAACTAAAAAAAGGTGGTGGATGACGATTCTCCACCACCAGGATTTGGCGATTGAGCGATCTCCTTTAAAAGAAGAAGTATATAAAGTATTTCTCCCGTCTTCTTAGCAGGCCTTCGCGGTGTAGTGGCCATCACACTCGGCACGTATTCGAGAGGGGCGTGGTTCGAGTCCTGGCGAGGCTTCGCTCATTTTTCATTCTCATTTGTCCTGCTTCGAAATAACTTAATGTCTCTACAACTTAAAGTAGTAGATAACTCTTTAGGAAGATGCTTACATGCTTAGTGCTTATCTGAGTACAGCAATGAGTCCATTCAATTTTCTCGCTGATCTTCTTTACCTGCGTCACAAAAGTTTATGTCTTTGATGCTGCATTATCTGTGCAACTCCCCACATATTAAGACCAATTTATTCAATTTTTTTTAAAAATAACCATTGACTATATCGAAAGTTGCATCTCCAGCATAGGTTTTTAAAGTTTTTCAAACAGTATATCTTCTTGACCAGAATTTTTAGAAATATATCTAACATAGACAAGCAATAAACACATAATACATTGCATATAATATTTGACTAAACAAGCTGGATCACAGAATATTTCAATTTTATTCCCTTCAAATGTTCCTTATCTACATCATTTGCCAAATCATTAATTCTACGCAACACGGTATTGTTGGATAAAGGTACCAAGTCAATTTGCTATGATGCCTTTTCTCTGATCATACACTCTGCGATATCGTTTGCACATAGGCCAATTAAGTTTGGTTCATTCAATTGCAATTCTATAACTTGCTCGAAGTGATGTCTCAAGGGTCATTTTATTATCTAGAGAAAAGATAATCTAGAGAGAAAGAAGAGATATTGCACTTCCCATTATGTGCTAATTTTCTTTTAAAATACCCGACAGGTATATTTCTGTGTACCAAATGTTTTGTTTCCAGGTGCCTACGAAAAAGTGATGGTTTTATACTACTGTTAGCAAGAATTTTATCGCAAAATAAACAAACTGGTTTAGATTCTGGTTCTTACCCAGTTAAAATAAGTTAAAATAAGAGATTAAGCAAATTTTCCCCTTAAAACTAAGAAAAATATTTAAAATAAATTTCATGTTTTAAGTATTTCATTAGTTTTACTGTTAAGAGCAAAATCTTAATCTGTAAGAGACTGTGAATTAATTCTTGAAATTCTTTATATGATTTTTAAAACAAATTCCACTTTTTAAACAAAATACAATTTCCAGTTTCTTTCACAAAAGGAATGGCTTTGCATTTGAAACCAGCACTGTGTTTATTTCTTTCTACCAAAGCAAAGGCGATTTAAAGCCTTGGATTTTCACTTCAAAATCGCGGCTTTAAATGTAAAGTAAAATCCATTTGTAAATAGTTGCTGTCATATTTTCAAACTCACTACAGCTTTCTGTATCATTACACTGTGCTATTTCGGAATCACATGCTGAAGCTGAAGAACAACCAATTCACAGCGTGTCCAGCATTTTGTCAGACTCGACTAAAGAAACTCATTTTTAAACATAGATCCTTAACAAATTAATGCATAATAATTATTAAATGTAATTTACACAAGAACTTTACTTAACGAAGCTACCGGAATATACTACTAATTGCAAACTAAATCACATAAGGTTTACAAGCATCAGTACGAACATATGTTAATGCGACTCAACTCTCCCAGCTGTGAACAAGCGTTTAACTCTACTGTCTGCATGCAACTAAATGAAAAAAAAAATCACGTTGATAGGAGCTAGTGCTAGGTGCTTAAAGTGGTTAAAAAAATTAAAGCAGTTAAAGTTATTTTCCATTTTTGAATTATTAACAGTATACTAAATATATGTATGTAAATTTATTATTTCATTTTTTTACGTTAGAAATTTAAAATTGCATCATTAGAATATTATTTTTACGAACCTTCTTTATCCAGCTCACGAATCACTGGCTGAGATAGAATATTCTAGATATATTTAGGGACACAATCGTTTTAAAAAAAGTCTGTAAAGAGCAGTGGCATAGATACGATACAAGAGACCAAATATTTTAAATCTTTTTACATTATTCTGTATACGTATAAATGTTCATTTTCCTTTGGCACAAAACCTTTCAGCAAATGCATAAAATTACTATTAAATGTCTCAAAATATCATTAAATAATTCAGTTTGATAATTTACCTTATATATTACTTGGTAATATTTCGGTGTGCCATAACCTATTCCAGTTTCATTAGTCCACTCTTCAAATGAAATTCTAATACTAAATTTAGAAACGTTTAGCAACTGAGGTAAATGTGTTAAAACAGGATAACCTAAGGAAAATAAATAGAAATTACTACATACGAGAGATTATTAGGAAATTCAGTAAGAGTACACTTTTAATATGAGACACATTTATATAAAAATGCACACTTGCAATGAAACAAAAGCTTTATTTATAAATTTGATTGAGATATAGTAAGAATAAGATATTACTTAATTTTAATGCCCAAGATGAGAACAGTTTATGCTTATTTTTAAATTATCATAATAAATCAATCATCAGTTGTAAATAACGAAGAAAATATACAATTATGTAAGGAATTTATAATCAAATTTAAGCATTTTATTTAAATTATTTGCAAGGAAAATGACTTTTTGTCTTTACTTTCAAAATAATTTATCTTAGTTAAATAATTTATCTTATCCTTAAATAATAATATGAATCAGTTAATTTTCTCTTTATTTAAATCTTAATGAAGTAACAAGCACGAACCTGCCAATTTATGAAAGCTTCATATAACTTAAAGGAATTTCACTTCCATTAATGAAAAACTTAAGCATATAGAGGTGCATTGTTCAGAAAATGCTTATAAAAATCAAATAAGAATATCCTTGTATGATTAGTAGTGTATGAAGCAGCATTCATTTCTGTGTCTTTAAGACTGGTCAGAACAGAAAATAGGAATTAATAACAATGTTCTGACTCACTTCCATGTTCGAATTTCAAAAGAAAATACAACTAACTGTTAAAGCAAGAAGAAAAAATATAATAAAATATAATTATGTATCTCAAAATACTCCTGAAATATAAAAAAAGCATTTTTAGAAGCTTCAGCTAATATGGAAATAAATTTCATTACTTACTTTCATTGCAATAAATTCCATGCCAACCATCAGCACATGCATTTTCACAAAGTCCAGAATATATACTGTAGTTTCCTTCCTCACAATGACCTACCTGTTTTTCATTGCAATTTGCACCATAAAATCCTGGAGGACAGCCTGAAACACAGATGTTATTAGAGCACACCCATATAAATTATTGAAACTAACATATTATATAGAGAAGAATAAAATACATCAGTTTTCATGGAAAAGCTATGTCAATAATTTTATTAATTTATAAAAGCAGGGACTTTTTTTTGGGGGGGGGGAAAGCGTTTGTTAGTGTCATCAACATTAATTAAGTAGTAAAAACTTATTTTTGTGGAATTGATACGCATGCATTAGGCTTCTTAATAATCATTCATGTAATTTCATTAGTTATAAAATATCAAAATTCCTAACATTATTCATCCTTATCCATTTTAAAACTTATTTCCGAGCTTTGGTTACAAGAAAACTCACTGTATTACAAATGGGCGCACATAGATATATGTGAAACACGTCTGAAGCCAAATAAAACTAACCATCCTTATTAAAAAGGGTAACAATACACTTAACCTTTAAGTTAAAATAAGAGATTAAGCAAATTTTCCCCTTAAAACTAAGAAAAATATTTAAAATAAATTTCATGTTTTAAGTATTTCATTAGTTTTACTGTTAAGAGCAAAATCTTAATCTGTAAGAGACTGTGAATTAATTCTTGAAATTCTTTATATGATTTTTAAAACAAATTCCACTTTTTAAACAAAATACAATTTCCAGTTTCTTTCACAAAAGGAATGGCTTTGCATTTGAAACCAGCACTGTGTTTATTTCTTTCTACTAAAGCAAAGGCGATTTGAAGCCTTGGATTTTCACTTCAAAATCGCGGCTTTAAATGACTACATAAAGAAAAACATCTAACTCCTAATTTCACAAATTTATTCAGGTTGGAAGTGCATTCTTACTCCAAATTCTGTCCCTTTTTTCTTGAAACCCTACAATGGCATTCTTTTGGATATTTATATTGAATCCAATCCACCCTATTTGCAGAAATATTTACTTCTTCAAGCATTTAACCCCCACACATATTATCCCCCTTTTTTTGTCAATTCGGTATCCCATCGTTCGAAATGCTAGGACAAATCTTTGAATAAGTGACCTAAAAAGATAAGAGCAGTGCCCATGTATCTTTTAGGTTTCTTCGTGAAGAACTAGGGGTGCGTTATACGGCAAATGTACCTAAAAATTAAGAAACATAGCTTGACTTTATAGATGCGCATTATACACCGGGGCAATTATACGCCTGGAACTACGGTAAATTCCATGCAGAGTAATTCTTTCTGTGCACTCTAGAAAACGAGAACCCATATATTCAAAAACGCCAAACCCAAATCTTCAGGCTTCGCTGTGTATGGACATAGATAAAACAGAAAAATGCTGCTGTTCCCTCACAATCACTTACGGTTCAAAAAAAAAGTGTGGCTTGCAAGCTGGTAAGCATTTAAAGGTGGGACACAATGATTCAATACTGCCATTTATAATGATATTTCTTGGCAAAAAAGTCTCAGCTAATCGGGAGAAAAACTGATTTAAGTATCTTCTTGCTCTTTCTTAAGTATCATATTCTCTGTTTTAGACTGCATATATGAAACAAAGAAAATTTTTAAAAAAGGAAGAAAGAAAGCTAATTGGGTAAAAAACTGATTTAATGGTTCTCTTGCCTTTTCTTAAGTATCCTATTCTCTGTCCTAGACTGCGTGGCGAAAGAAAATAGAAAAAAGAAAGAAAGAAAGAAAAAGAAAAAAGGAGTTCTGAGTGAGCTTTGGATAATAGATCATTTTGTTTACTAGACAATAGATTTCGGATTTTGTACATTACAAACAGTAAGATGACATAAAATAATAAAGATTACCACTACAATAAGAAAAGTACATCCCAGTAAGCAGTACAGGACTCGCAGTTAAGAAATGAAAGAAATCTCTTTTGACGATATCAAGATTATACGATATTAAAACAGAACTGCCCATGGCTGTGAAAACTGTAATGGTAAGCATAATTTTAGTTAAAAATAAGCCCAATATATCTGTTACACTGCAGCCAAACAGCTCTTACTGAAGTTCGTACTGAATTTAATAAAAGGAAATTGCAGTTATTATAAAAATACAATAAATTTATAACTGTGAGATTGATGACTTTGAGATTATAGGTTTAGGATTACGTTCTTGTTCTTTTCATGTATATAGAAATCCAATTTTGCTTAATAAAGCATCAAAAAAGCTCAAAAACTCAGCATCCATGCAGTTGGACATTGACATTGGTTAAAACAGAGAAACAGAGATGCATACACGTGCTAGGTTGCTAGGTTACACGTGCAAGGTTTTTGGGGAACATCACAGGTAGCTACATAACTATTTTGACTACGTACTACTTTGTCTCATGAATACTGTTTCACGATTTTTTGACAGGAGTTCGGATAATCAGAAAATTTATAATAATTAATGGTGTTGAAAATATCATCAGTACTTGGTATACTTATAACAATAGTAATATGTGATAAATACATAAATGCAGAAATGAAAAAGAGTAAATATCCAAGGGAAAATATTCACAAAGTTCTGTCTTTTAAAAAATGAAACTTTGAATCAATAAAAAGTATTAAAAACTGCGAAGCTGTTCAGTTGACTTTTATTTTTTTAACATATGTCTGATTCTGGATAAATAGTCATGGCTTCTGGAATTTTAATGCTTTAGGAATAATCAAAATAGAGCAATCATGTATGATGCTTTTGAGAGAGAAAGTTCTTGTGTGGCTATACTTGGCACAATGATGCTTAAAAGTTAGTCACTATATTAAGGTGATCATTTAATATAATCTATTCCAAAGAATCACATTAATCTCTATATTTTGAGCTTCATACGTTTCAGTCAAGTCAAATTTAAACATTATAATGATAATACATACTCTCATTGCAAAAATGTCCACTTAACCCCGCAGCACATGTACATCCGTATGGATCGGGCAAGCATAGCAATTTCCCAATGCAAGCTTCAAATTCCTGTTCTTCATTTTGAACAGAGCATTGTAAATTGCATTCATTTCCAAAATAACCAGGAAAGCAGGCTAAAATAAAATCTATAAATTAAACATACTCACAAGGGAATTAATTACACATTAGCACAATCACCTTAGCACAGTTTCGTTAATTGGTAAATATTACATATTGGATGCAAATGGACAATTTTGGCGACATTTTAAAAAAGAATTCAAAACTATCAAAGCTTATATTGTAAGTTGGCAAACATTATTAACATATTAAAAGAAAACACACTTTAATAATTTAAAATATAAATTTTAACTAGTAAATACGGATTACGTGATATATTAAAAAAGCAAAATGCAATTTTAATGAATTTTTCTTTTTGTAATTTATTTTTGTTTTGTTCGTCTCTCCATGTACACACCTATCTGCTTAGAAAAAACTCAGAAAATTTTACAAACTCGGCATTGAGGCATTATTCCGAACACGCAGTTTTAAAGTTAATAAATAGCATTAAAAACAGACAACAAAAGAGAGAAATATCTGACAATCCCATTGACACGGGTCATATGAAAATGTTGACGCTGACCATTAAAACTCAAAAATTGTCAGGCATATGGTTGTTTAAAGAATTGTTATGCACGTGATGTGAGAGTTTACTGTATTCTGAAATTTGGCGAATTCTGCTAAGGTGATTGTGATAATATAGTATTGCTGAGAACGGTAATTGTTGACGTTAGCAAAACTAGATGACGGCTTGTGGTAATATATTTAAAATATCAATTAGATTATCATTGCAGAAATTCACGAGGTCAATATTTAACAATGATATAGAAAATTTATAAAATATTTAACAGCAACTGTATACTGAAAAATTCGGTTTTAGAAAATTAAAATTGGCCTCACAAGTGTGTTTTGACTGCATTATGTATTTTTTAAGGTATTATAGTCTTCACCCAACATAAACAAAAAATAACAGAAAGGAGACGTCTATCAATTGGTGACTTTAAAATGCATATTTTTTGCTATGGATGACGATAAAACTGCCCAGCCGGCTGTAGAAACCAACAAGGTAAGCGTGAAAATTCCGCCATTTTAGTTTGAAAAAATAAAGATGTGGTTTTACCAAGTAAAGGTCCAATTCTTAATTAGTGGCATCAAGGATAAAGAAGCCATGTTCAATTATTTGGTCGCCCTATTAGAACCCAGATTTACAGAGAATATCTGCAACAACAAATACTCGGCCGCTGAAAAAAGAATACTCAACATCGAGATCACTCAAGATCACAAGTGAAAATCACCACATTAAACATTTGCTTAACGGGTTGGAACTTAGCGACTTGAAACCGAGTTAGCTCTTTCTTAGAAGGAAATCTCTGGGAGTAGACTTGTCGTAGAACATGTTGCGATCTCTTTGGCTGCAAAAGATGCCAGACGCTATAAAATTAACATTACAAAATACAGAGGCTGTGAAATTAACATCATTGTATCCATAGATTAGCATGGACAATCATAATTTGGGTGGTTATTCACAGTAATACAAACGAAGTTAATGTCATATTGGATATGCAGATTTGGCGTCCCATGTAAAATTTTTACATATCAATAAACACAACTTGAATCACAATTATTCAGGACTTTGGATGTAATATGTGAGGCTAAATTAATTCATACTACAGCGTACCATCCCTAAATGCAATCGGAAAATCGACAGGCTTCATAGAATGTTGAAGGCTGCCATAAAAGCGCATAATAATGCTCAGCGGACTGAAACACTACCAATAATTCTGCTGGGTCGCAGATCTACCCTACGAGGTGAGAAAAATGAATCGATTGTCCAAATGGTATACGGAACAAATATTAAACCTACCAGTTGAATTCTTTGCTCCATCCAATACCAAAGTTGCCCCTGATGCCTTTGTGATAAGCTGCTAAATTACATGGATAACTTAAAATCGATCAAAACACGGAGTACTACCAGACAGGTTTTGTCCACAAGTGCTTAAAGTCATGCTCTCACGTTTTTGAGAATAGACTGGATAAAAAAGTCACTCGAACTACCATATGCGGTACCATTTCAAGTATCTAACAGAAATAAGAAATATTTTTCTGTGCTCACTAAAGGAAAGACAGTTAATATTTCTGTTGACAGACTAAAGCCCAAAGTCCGCATACATGCTAACCACTGACATTGATACTGTGCGTGTCAAAGTGATTGTAAACAACGAAACTAATCAACATTCAAACGACAAGCTTCCTCAAGCTATGGATAACAGCAAAAATCTTTCAGCAAACATATGTTCTTGTAGACAAGTAACATTGCCCATCCGGCTTCGAGATTGAAATTGATAATACAGCTGTCTCTTCGTTCCCCACCATGTATACTTAGTGTCATTAGTACTGGTGAGGAAGTAATGCGGAAACGGTAACAGTTAATGTTAGTACCCTCTAGATGACGGCTGGTGATAATGTATTTAAAATATCAGTGAGATTATTACTGCATAAATTCACGAGGTAAATATTTAACAATGATGCAGCAAATTTATAAAATATTGAATGTTAACTATATATTGAAAATTTCACTTAAAAAAAAGAATTAGAATTTACCCCGAAAGTGTATTTTGCCCGTATCCTGTATTTTTTAAGGTATTATAGCCTTTACGCAGCATAAAATAATAATTAACATAAAGGAGACGTATGAAAACGTAATATATCTTCACAGTTAATTAGTAAATAAAAACTTCAATTATTAAGCAATTATCAAAGGTTATTCAGATGAATATAATCATCGAGTCAAGTTCAGGAACAATGTTGGCACGAAAAAGCATTATAGAGCTTCAGTGCATGAAATAATTTTTTATAATTTAAAGGAACATAATACTAATATTTCATTCAGTACAAACGTGGACCATGGAGAAAAAATTAAAAAGGCTTAACCAAGATTCTTGGTGTCAAGAACATTTCTTTTCCTAAAGTAAATAAGCTTCTGCATTTATATTAAAAGCAAAAGGTCTGCATTTATCATTGTTAGAGTATAGATATACTATTAACCACAGATAGTACTTTGTAAATGACTTTGAGGAACAAATTCAAGCATGCCTCAAGAGACATGCTTCAAATTTGCTTAAACGTTTTGCTTCCCTAAAAACAAAGTCAAACAAAATAATTCCTGGTTCATGAATTTCATGTGATGTATAGAATTGAATGTAAATTCAATTCTGGTTTATGAAAATTTTGTATTCTTCATGAAAATGGTAGATTAATCCAAAATGTTATCAGGATGAAAGTTTATAAATGTGTAATATAAATCCTCATAAATTTATTTTGTTTTTCTCCAGGTTCCAAAAGATTATTTCACACTTCCATTTTCTCTATAGCTATTTCTCTATAGCAAGAAGAACAAAAATTAACAGTAGGACACTGCAAAAGTCCATACAATAATTATTTAATGTCTTTCGTTCTGTAGCAATAATATGCTCCAGTACTGGATACCTTCTATGAGAAAATAATGAGCTACAGTTGATTATAGTACTTGGCAGTTAAATTCAATCAAAGAGAGATAGGTTTTGCTTTGCCAGAGCAGCTAAATTCTGTGATGCTTGTGGGGGTTTGTGAAAGACATATATACCACAATGGTTTTAAATCTGCCACTGTTATTCAGTTATAAATATTTAGGTATATTTAAATACAAAATTCACAACTACATATTTTTATCTGAATATTATTCAAAGTTATCATTACATGCACATAAATATTAGAATATATTAAAGAAATTCAAAACTATGTATTCATTATATCATAATTGTAACAGATTGTTGCAAAGATTTCACACGGATGATTTATATTCCTTAGTTTATGAAGTTTACAATCCATTGAGATTAAACAAACCTTTCTCACATAAAGTGCCATTAAATCCAGGAGCACAAATGCAAACACCTGTGAGGTCATGACATACTCCACCATTTAAACAATGAGGACAGTTTTCTGAACAACTGCTGCCAAACTTTCCATTGGGGCAAGCTAAAATTGCAAATATAAAATGATGTTATTTCTAATTAAAATCTTAATTTACAATATACATAAAAGTGCATTTTTTTGTTCATGTATAAAATGAGGCACAGTTAACTTATATAACAGAGTTAATTAACACCCTTAACCTAATTAATCAATAAAAGCAATCATTACAATATAAAAGTTACATATTTGGGACTATGAAGAACTTTCTGAAAGAAATGACTCATGTGTTTGTTTATTTAATATAAAATAGAAAAATTCCATACAATTATCATGGTTTGTGAACTATAGCAAAACGGTCAGGGGTTATCTGTTTAAGGATGTAGATGGCATATTATGGAAAATGACTTACATTAAAATGACCTACAGGGAAAAAATCATACAGTAATGCATTTTAATACCAGGAATTAAACTAAAGATGAATCTACCGACATTCCGCATCCAGCCAGATACTAAAAAGCATGCATTAAATAGTTAACATAATAAATATAACAAATGTAATATTTTAATAGTTCGTTATTTGTTAATTGTGGTCAAAACCATAAATAAACCTGTCTGACAAATAAAGGTTGTATTTCATGTGATAAAAGCATTTTCACTATGCTTTGCATCTGACGATTAAAAAAATAATATTATGAATTAATTATCTGAAAATTTAAAATTAAAGTTTTACAAAGTTCAAATGATGCCAGGGGCTTGTAGGTGTTCCCAAAAAGTAATAAAAAAAAACGTTTAACTGTCTTAATAAAAACGGGTAGAAGGATATAGGAACTTGAATCTATACCAAAAAATATCATAAAAATTGTTGCTCTGATTTGGGAGAAAATTGTAAGTATAACCAAAATATGTATCCATTGATTAACATGGACAATCCTGATTTGGGTTATTCACAGGAGCACAAAAGAAGGTAATGTCATATTTGACCACAGTTCTCCAAATCTGCTACAGTGAAGTTATTACATTAGGTTACCTTATAGCAACAGAAATATAGCTCTCCATCTGGAGACCTCAGTTTCAAACAAAGAGGTACAAAATTATAATAGCATGTCTGTCCCCAATTCTACAATTAAGTTACAAAGGAACTATTAAGATTTTCTTTTTCTAATACCAGTGGAGATAGCAAATAATGGGAGGTATAAGTCCCTATATTTTAACATAGAAATGGTCAAGCAAATAATGGATAATAGAGTCCAGCAAATAATGGAGGTATAAGTCCCTATATTTTAACATAGAAATCAAAACCTCAGACCACTTAAAAAATAAACAAAAATAAATAAATAACACTACTAGTGCCACAGACTTCAATAGTCTAAGAGGTTCTTCTTCCAGAGATGAAAGTTTGTAAATAGATAAGTAAATAATTTATTTACATACAATTTGTATTTAGTTATAATTATATAAAATTTTAAACGATAGTATATCTATTTTCAAGGTTATCTCGTCTTTGTTATAATATATTATAGGCGAATTTTATAATTTTAAAATGTTTCCTTAAACGTTTTGCTTCCCTGAAAACAAAGATGAACAAAATAATTTCTAGTTCATGAATCTTATGTGATGCATAGAATTCTGTGTTAATTCAGTGCTGTTTTTGCAAAATGATTATGATGCTAAACAAAATGCTTTCTCTTTGGATCAATTCAATAGGTGAATAATGATTTATTTACATTTGCATAATCAAGTGCAATTTATTTTTCTTGTAGCTGCAAATAAGAATATTTTACTTTTCAAGTGATTTTCAATCGTTTATCAATCGTTTCTTGATCATTGATGATAGACATATACTTCTAATTGCAGAAATGTTTTATATGATGCAAATATTCATGTTATAGTATTTTGAAATATAAAAAAATCTATCTTGTATCCTCCGGTTTATACACTTATAGTTAGTAAAAGTTTATATTCGTTCTCTGATGTGGCCAGCACATGATTTCCTGCCAGTTCCATGGAATTGGCAAAATAGCAATGAACTTTAAGTAAACGTTCACTTCCGGTTGATAATTTGAAAATAAGATTTAATTTGTTTATAAAAATTATGGCTCAAAGTTAAGGGCAAACACTATTCATTTTTTATTATTCTATTCTCCCATATAATGGGCAATTATAAATTTGCGTGCTCATGTACACATCTGTTCTCATAGTTCGATATGAAAATATCACATAAAATTGTAGTATATCCTGTGGTCATAGAGGTTTTCAGATTCACAAATCAGTGACTCAACAGTATCAAACTTTTTAAAAGCAGCATTTCTGTAAAGTTCTTGATAGAGTATTAAGTATTGTCATGCGTTTCGTTTTCAGTCTTTTCTCAGTTTATCATATCAGTGTTCAATTTTATAAAAAAAAACGAACTTTTTTATTTGATATTTTAACTTTATTTATGAAACATTACTTTCTTTGCCCTTATGCCGCATAAAATTCAACAACAAAAGCTTTAAAATAAAAGTATCTTTAGAGAATTCCCAATAGTGTTAACTGCTGTCATATATTTTTTTATGTTCTCTATATTATTTAAAAAAATAATACATAGCTATTATACATTTGGTGGCATCATGGTTTTGCTTGAAAATTGATTGACACAAAATTGAGAACTGAAGCTAATACATTTAAGCTTCATAATGAGCTAATTCTTGTTACATTTAGCATAATTCCGAGAATACGTTTAACACTTATAAATGTAGTGTCAATCACATACCTATTTTAGATACAAAATTCGAGAAGATTCGCTTAGCTCATGATATACTTTTTTATCAGTCAAGTTCAGTCAGTTTTTTATCAGTTCAGAACTTCAAGTAAAGTGTCACTTCCAGTTTACGAATTTTAGCAAAAATACAGTATGTTGTTCCCATTAATATAAAAGTCTTAAATACTAGAACTGAAAACGTTTTGCATTACATTTTAATATTTTTTCATTTAAAACTGTTGGTTTTAAAGACTTTTATTTATGAGCTTCCTGTAAAGTACCATTTCTGATTATCCAATTTTACTCAAATTCTAATCAATTCCTTACATGAATGTAGAAAGTGTGCCTGACTGCTATACCAAAAGGCACGAGTTCGAATCCCGGAGAAGGCATAGATGTAAAATTGTCTGTCCCTTCGTAGGAGGTAACGGTGGCCGCCTATTAGATGCCTCCAGAATAAAATGGCCACCACTTCTGGCCTTAGTAGTGGCCAATGGCGTTATAAGCAAGTGAAAAAAAAAAGAGAAATGTAAAAGGTTTAAATAAGGAAAATCATAAATTTTCAGAAGTTTAATATAAGAGTTATTATGGACTAAAGAATCTTCCCATATACAGCCACGCAGACATCATTGGAAAATAGTAAAAAAAATGTTGTTGAGACCCTAATTTGTGCTTATTCACTGAAAACTTACTATCGAATGTTTGGACCGAAAACATTACCTCTTTGAACTTTATATAGGTCCACGGGAGGCAAAATTACAGCCCAGATGACGAAACGAACGAAAAGTACGAAAGGTATAACGAAAGGAATTTTTTGTAGAAGAAAATAATATGCAGAAACTGTACCAATAAATTTATATAACTGTATCAACTGTAAATGATAATGCCTTATATAATTGTGCTTATGTTTTGTGCTACTTGAAGACTACTTTTTTTTTCGTTTACACGGCTTCTCTTGGATTATCTGATGTTTCGAGTCGCCGTTGGTACTTAAGCCTAATGACGCTATTTATTTACTTTCTGTCTATGCTTTGTATGTACCTGTTTTGGATGTATTTTGCTGTGCAAAGTACGCTTTGCCATTCGAGTAACATTAAAAAATTCGAAAAAGAAAAAATAGAGAGTGACAAGAATTATTTATCGGAAAATAGACAGCCAATTTCAAAAATTATCTGTAATTATCGTCAATCCCTTGCGATCTCAGTTTTTATATACAGGGTGTCTCAGCAAATTGGTTGCAAACTCTCAGAACAGATAGAGTACACTTGGACGTTGGAAAAACACATAGTAATGCATGGTCGGAAACGTTTTCCTAGCGCGGTAGTGACGACATAAAAAACAAGAAAGGAAGAACGCGGAGCAGAGTGAGAATATATGTATATTACGCTTAGTGCAGCAGAAACATTGATTAAACAATCTCATCAACGTTAAGAATGGATCTTAGTTTTGAAAGTCCTTTGCACCACACTTTTATTACATATGATTATATATATATATATATACTTAAGCATCTAAAGTCAATATTAAATTGAAATCAAAGCAATTCCTCAATAATATTAATAATTGCAACTTTGTGTAAGACGTTTAACACAATATCTAAAAATCAAAATTAAAACAAGAATTGATAGAACAAAGTCAAAAAAAAAAAAAATGCGAAAGGGAAACTATACAAATTATAAAAATATAAGAATTAATCTCCTATTACTGAAACTCCAATTCAGAATTCATCAGGGGAAAACGAATTAAAGCTTTATAAAAGTCGATTAATATGTTTCGAAAACATGTTTCGTTCTTCTGGTTCATTTGAGTTAAAAAACCATAAAAAAGATTCAATTAAATTTTCATTTAACACATAAAAATGTGTAATATCCAAGTTTTTTGAAAGCATGTAGGAAAACTTCTGGTACATTTAAAATTCGATTTTTTGGTTTTGTAAGAATGTTTTTTGTTTGTTTGTTTATTTTTGTTTTATAAGAATATGTCTTAAATGAAATTTAATTGAATCTTTTGTACGGGTTTTGAACTAAAAACGAAACGTGTTTTCGAAACATATTAATCGACTTTTATGAAGCTTTAATTCATTTCCCCCTCATGAGTTCTGCATTGGAGTTTCAGTAACAAGGGAAAAAATCTTATATTTTTATAATTTGTATATTTTCCCTTTCGCATTTTTATTCTTCCAGTTTGATTTACTATCAGTTCTTGTTTTAATTTTAATTTGTTTAGATCAGCAGTTCTCAATCTTTTGACTAGCGCGTACCACCTAAGCAAAAATTTAAAACTTTTAGTACCACCACTACAAAGTACTGCTACCACTACCACTACCACTCTTCAACAAAGCTCAGATCGCATAAATTTACAAGTGTTAGAGAAAAAACTCAATCAGGATGCTGGGGTTTTAATTTTTCAATTTAATAGTTAAAAATAGTTTGCTTCTTTTGCGTACCACTTATTTTTCTCTTGCGTACCACCAGTGGTACGCGTACCACTGGTTGAGAACCCCTGGTTTAGATATTGGGTTAAATCTCTTATACAAGGTTGCAATTATTAATACGAGGCGTATTCGGAAACTAAGTACCGTTTTGAAAAGAAAATAGTAAAACAATTTTTTCGAGTCCAATTTTATTTTTACATGAAAATACATGTCTTAAACTATTTTTCAACATAGTTTCCGCCACTGATCAAACATTGTCATAGCGGTTAACCAGGTTTTGTATACCATCGTCAAAGAAACTTCCCGCCAGTTTCGATAACCACGACTCAACAGCATTTTCGTGTCATCGTCAGATCCAAAGCGCTTGCCACCAAGCTCGCGCTTCATGTGCAGGAACAAGTGATAGTCGGACGGCGCCAAGTCCGGGCTGTACGGCGGGTGATCGAACTGCTCCCAATGAAACTGTCGAATTAACAATTGAGTGATACCAGCAGTATGGGGCCGAGCATTGTCATGGAGCAACACATTTCCTTTACCGAGCATTCTCTTCGTTTGTTTTGAATGGCACGCCTTAGTTTTGTTAAAGTTTCACAATATCGTGCCGCATTAATGGTTTCACCTCTGGGAAGAAATTTAGTAAGCAATATGCCTTTCCTATCCCAGAAGAAAGTGCACATGATTTTTTGTGATGACATTGTCACTTTGAACTTTTGGTTTTTCGGAGAATAAGTGTGTCTCCACTCCATCGATTGTTGTTTCGATTCTGGTGTGAAATGACACACCCAAGTTTCATCACCTGTCACAATTTGGTTTAAAAAGTTTTCTCCCTCATCACTGTACCGCGTGAGAAATGTCAGGGCACTACCAAGTCGCTTTGTTTTGTGAACATCAGTGAGCATTTTTGGAACTCATCGGGTCAGCGGGAGAACTAATTGTCTTAAACATTTTGAATGTGCACAGCAAACTGAAAACACAACATAGAGCAACCAAAATGGCGACAACTGAAAGTCAGTGAACAAGAAAGACTAGTGCGCATGCGCGGGACGCCTACCTCAGTGCTGCGACGGCGCTAGAATGAAACGGTACTTAGTTTCCGAATACGCTACGTATTTTTGAGGAATTGCCTTGCTTTGTTTCCAATTTAATATTGACTTTAAATGCTTTAGTTTATTTTACTGCAATTCTGCAGCTATAGCTCAGGATGGGTTTAAAAATGAGGTTTTAATTTTTAGCATATACAGTGGTGGCCAAAATTGTGGATACTTTTGGAAATTTTTATGTTTTTGAACTTTGTATGCTTATAGAAAATGTTACGTTTCGCAAAATGCAAACTTGTATATATCATTTTAAAGAGAATTTATTACTGAATTCAATACAAAACACAAAATTAATTATTTGCAATACAAAAAAGTTATATGTACTTTAATATAAATAAAAAAACACAGTTTATGAAGTGGTTTGTAAGTCTAGTTCCTGGCCAATCACTGTTATTGTTCTGAGAACCAATCAAATGTCAGTAACTGCCAGTAGAAGCTGACATCATGTTTACACTTGAAACAATTCATTATTTTGCTTTGTTCTGTTTCTTATACACTGCAATTACAAGTAGGAATTTTTGTAAAAATTTTTAATATTTAGTCAAGAAACAATGACATCAAAAAAAAAAAAAAAAGAGTGCATTGGACACATAGAAAGAGATGTAATATTATTGTGTTACGAGAAAGTGGTCTTTCCTATGCTGAAATTGCAAGACAGGTGGGTGGTTCAGTGACTACATCTGGAGTCCGAAAGTTTTGGTTACGATATCAGGAGACAAATTCAATAAAGAACAAAGAAGGAAAAGGCCGAAAAAGGTGCACCACATCTATTGATGACAGAAGAATAAAAAGACTATGTCTCCAAGATAGAAAAAAATGTCATCAGCGGCCATCAGAAGTGATCTGAATGATGCTGGTGTTTCTGTCAGTTCAAGAACAATCAGGAGAAGATTAACAGATGTTGGATTGAGAGGTAGAATTCCACGAAAAAAAGCCTTATCTTAATTTTCAGCAACGAAAAAAAAAAAAAAAAAAAAAAAAAAAGACTACAGTGGGCAAAGGAACACATTAGTTGGACAGATGATCAGTGGTCACAAGTTATATGGAGTGATGAAACTAAGATATCGTTATTCGGTAGTGATGGGCGAAAATATGTAAGACGTAGAATAGGAGAAGAGCTACATCCTGACTGCATTCAAGCAACTGTGAAGAACCCAGTTAGTGTCATGATTTGGTCATGCATGTCAGCAGATGGTATTGGTCGCCTTCATGTCATCGATGGGACACTGAATGCCAGAAAATACATTGAGACTATTCTAGAACCAAAACTTCTACCTTCCATCAGAGATCTCTTTCCCAACAATGCTTCGTTTATTTTTCAGCAGGATTCTGCTCTTGCCACACGGCCAAAATATCGAAAGCGTGGTTTCGTACAAAGAGTATTAAATTTTTGTCATGGCCAGGAAACAGTCCTGACCTCAATCCTATGGAAAATTTGTGGCACCGTTTGAAAACTCTTGTCCGAATGAGGCGCCGATCAAATAAAAGGGAACTAATTGAGGCTATAATTGTTTCCTGGTATCATGTAATAACGAAAGAAGAGCTTAAAACTCTTGTCAGCTCAATGAAACGTCGATGTGAAGCCGTAATCAAAAATAAAGGGTACCCTACTAAGTACTGATCACTCACTGCAATCATCACTATCTAATGTATATCGATAACTATTATCATTTAACTTTTTTGTATTGCAAATAATTGAATTTTTTTTGTTTTGTATTGAATTCAGTAATAAATTCTCTTTAAAATGATATATACAAGTTTGCATTTTATGAAACGTAAAGTTTTCTATAAGCATACAAAGTTCAAAAAACATAAAAATTTCCAAAAGTGTCCACAATTTTGGCAACCACTGTAATTGTTTCTTAATATATATATATATAGAGAGAGAAATGTGTTGAAAAGTCATATATTTTTTCATTAGAACTTTACTTACTTCTCACGATCAATCGTATAAAACCACGTCTCAGAGAGGAATAATTTTTGTATCCGAGGCTATATATACCAGCAAAACTAGTGTCAGATGTGTTGATTGTAATTGAAGTCCTCTGTATACGTTTGAATAATTCTCTGTTCAGCGGCTTTCCATCCCTCATCCAGATTGTTTCACACTGTGCAAAATTTTTTTTCTCCTGCTCTTCCAGTGTCAAAACAACTGTATCATTTATACTTGCAGTTATTGAAAATTTACGAGGAAGAAAGAAGGCTAAAAGGAAGAACAATTATTCAATGTATTAGAGAAAAACACTGTTTGTAACTGATATACAGGTTTCATTAATAATTCTATTATTTTGACAATTATGTAAACAGCACTTTCGATTTGAGAAACGTTTAGATATAAGGCTTTTTAAATACAATATTCGGTTTAATTAAAATTAACTTTCATTATACGTAAGTAGTTTATAAAGACTACATATTTTTATTATAATTTTGCTCAGTTCCAGATTCCTGAAGTTACCAACACAATTAATTTATAAATTTTAGGGCTAAAAGCTTAAGAAACTAAATAGAAGAAAATGAAATTTCAGTTATTTAACGTTCTAGATGCATTGTCTGAAATGTTATGCATGAAATAATTAGAATTTCTGTGTTTAAAGTTAGGTATATTTTACGTCTTATAATTATATATGAGAAAAATTTTCCATTATAATAATTGAGATACTGTAATTTTGTAATACATAAATGATAACATATTAATATTATTTTCATTATTTAATTTTAAGCATTAAATCAAAACATTATGCTCACCTAAAGGTCCATAAAATAGTTTTAAAACATTTTCTATGTAAAAGAGCAAACGAAAAATTCTGGATTTTTTATGACACGTTTACTAACATTTATTTTTCATATTTGACTTCGGAAAACACTAAAATATAGTAGTTTTAGTGTTTAGATCGAGGTCGGGCAAACACAAATTGATCACACAATCGTGAGTAGAAACATAAAATGCAATTTAATCAATAAAGTTGTCCCTATAGCACTGTAGAATTTATTTTAATGCGCTGATTATTGATAAAATTTGGCCTTTGTTGGTAATCACACTGAAGGGTCGAGTTAAATAGCAGACATGTTCTCATCCTCTAATCTGATATTTGTTTTATACGCAGCTTTAATGCTCTTTCATTACTAGCGCTCAAGCTGTCGATGTTAAATTTCTGCTGAGGTTTTGGTATCGTAACTTCAAGCCGAAGTACAAATAAATGTTTTAGTTGACTTTTATTATTGTTGTAATCTCTTTGCATTATTGGATTCCAAGTTAAAGACAAGAAAATAAATTCACCTCGAAGGTTAGAAAGCTTAAACGAGAGTTTACATTAATTGCGATAAAACTTTAACCTTAGAGTATGAGCTAGAAATTTTAAACAAAGCTTTATTACAAATTATAACAGAAAATAAAGAAGAATTCGAATTAAAAAAAAACAACTCATCCAACTTTTATCGTCAATTTTCGAGATATTCTGATCCCCGTTTCAAAAACAAATTATAATTTTCTCATTTTTTTGTATTTTAAGGAACTTTTTTTAAATGTTTTGTAAAATTAATTTTAACTATCATTTTGATATGTTAATTCTTTCTTGTAACTTCTATTCTTTTCATCAACCATCATATTTAAAAAAAGTACTATTAAGCATTAAAAAAAAGACAAATAGAATTTAATTTTCTTTTATGTTATATTTATAATTAACAAGATTTAAATTAATTTTGATTTGCACGTATATATGTAGATAGATAGTTTTGGAAATGATAGTCGAATATACCTACGGTGAGTTCAGGAATGAATAAAAAGTAAAGCAATAGGAGTTTCGAATCTGCAATTTGCTATTGTGTTTCGTCACCATCAACAGTGCATTTTTTGGTAACATCATTACCTCATGGATAACATGCACACAGAGACGTAGCTGATGCATTCAGCGCTCGGGGGCAACCAAAGATTTCCCGTCCTCTCCTGTTTTCCAGAATACAATAAGAAACATCAGATGGACACCCCTTGGATACTGCTCCCGGGAACAAATATCGCTTCCCCAGCTATACCACTGAATGCCCGCAACACAAGAGTTTTAAAGGTCTTCAAGTGAAAGGCTGTTGTAAAAATTACTCTCTTCTATTGCTTGATATGAATAAATGTCATGTTTAAGTATAACAGAAATAACCTTAATATGTGATGCATTATTTTAGGTTAGACATTTATTGTAGTGATTCTATATTTTATCATGAAGAGCTCCAAGTAAGGTATCACTTCTAGTTTATCGTATATAATAAAAATTTAATATGTTGTTTTCAGTCATGAATGTATAGGCATCGCATATATACATACAGAAGTTTTAAATACTAAATTTGAGAAGTTTTAGGTTATATCATAACATTTGTTACGCGAAAATCTGTCCAGAGGTTCAGATAAAGTATTTGGTTTATCGATTTAGCCAACATCTAATATTTTGTTCCCATTGATATAAAGGTCTTAAATACTTAAATTGAAGTTTGGGAATATATTTTAATCCAGTTTTCCATTCAAAACTGTTATAGGCTTTAAACAAAATACCTCTTTTGGTTGTCTGTTAAAAACTGTTATGCGTTTTAATTTAAAGTACCACTTCCGGTTCTCCAATTTTACCTGAAATCTAATCAAATCTTTATGTGAATACAGAACGCTTATATATGGAAAATAAATATTAACAGATAGCGTAGACAAAAAAAAATCGTCACAGGTATACATACAAACATACATCAATGTAAAAATAGAAAAAAACTTGTAGTGGGAATCTTAATTTGTGCTCATTCACTAAAAATTCACTATCGAGTTTTCGGACCGAAAATATTACTTCCCTTACCTTATGCAGGTTATAAAATTATTTACCTTATATACCTTATATAGCAGATATAAGAAATATGGTAAACTAAAACTACTCAATGTTCAAAAGAAAGTAAGGCAAACTGTTATTGAATAATTCCTTAAAATAAAACTTTTCTGTCCATTTGAAATTTGTTTTGTTACTTTTAAAATCCTGTAAATATGCACTTGTGACTTTTAGAAAATGTAATTGCGGCTCTCGAACTTTCCTGAATTTCAGCATGTAGATTTTAATGACATAAAATTTGGCTACGTCTCTTATATAGGTTGGCGGGACGTCAAAATACTGAAAGGAAGTCTTGTAATTAACTTAATTAATACTTTATAATGGAAAGTAAAATAAGTAGCATACCATCACTTCTAAAGGCTATGGAAGTTACAGATGATAAAGTTGAATATTCTGGTATGCATTCAAAACCTCCAGATGTATGTTCTACAGATTCTTCGTCAGACCACGTATATTCAAACGCAGTAGAATTTCCTTCAACTAAAATTGATTTCGATATTTTAAACGCAGTAAAACAATTAACACAAGTAAGTAAAATAATTAAGATACAATTTACAGTCTTTAAGGAAAAAAAGAATGATATACACTTTTTTCCTTTCAATACACTGTTATTTTAAAATGTATTTGTTGAAATGTGCAATATATCTATCATCTGAATGTAAACATGAAAAATGTTCACTTTATGAGAGAAAAAAATTCTGAATATTTCATATATCAGCGTTTTCCAAATTATAATGTTTATTTAAATCAGCGCTTTCGTTTTCTATATCAACATTTTGTCCATATCGATTATAAGAACAGAATTTCAATCCATAAAATAACCATACAAATACAAATATAAATATGATCGCGAACTGTTTTTCGTCGATCTTTTGAAATTGAACGTCTTGTCAGAAACGGCACCTTGCGAACATGTGAATATTACTAGTACCTTTTTATTTTCCGATCTTGCATAATGCGCCTGTGAGTTGCACAGAGCTGTTCCATAAATTACGGTAGACAAAAAGAATTACGAGAAACTTGTGATTAGTTGAAATTGCAATTGATAAAGGACAGTATTTCATTGCAAAGCATGATCTGGTGGGTTTTTTAAATTGATATTCATATTGATGAAGTCGAGAAAACCTTGAACATTTAAGTGATTCCACGTACAAGTATATATCTTTTAGGAGAATGATACGACTCGATTGTAATTATAAAATAATTTTCTAAATTTTTATTTGCAAGACATCTTATTTTTTAATGCAAAATGAAAACATAAGCGCTATAGTGTAAATCCTGTTTAAACGTGTAATGAACTCTAGGCAGTTTTCCATAGCCCTAGACTTCAAACGAGCTAATCCGAGCTACTGCTCGTAGGACAGCAGAATAGTAGAGTTTTCTACGTTGTGAGAATGAACTATACCTGTGACGAGCTAAAGAGCTGATAATTTTGTCTGCCAAGAACAGGCGTGACAGATGCCTTCCTGGTCAATTTTTATCTCGTGTCTGAAATGCCTTGGTTTCAGATTTTATTGCAATTCTTATATGCGTGTAAATTACAATTTATGTTTATGTCCTCCTGTGTTGTGATAGTGATATAAATAAAAGATTGAAAGATTGAGACATTACGCAACAAAGGACAAAGGTAGCAATAATAATAACAAGGAAAGGAAAACTTGAAAGGATTCAGAATTTAATGTTCCACCAGAGGGTTTATTAATGTTTCTTATGTTTTATCTGAGCTAACAGTTTACTAGTACGCTCTTGGACTCATGCCTGCTAGCACAGCTTCCTTTTTTTTTTTTTATCATTTTACGCACCTGCGCCACATGAAATTCAGCAATAAAAATCACGAAATTTTTAAATGAAGCATATTTTTATAATTCTAGATAGAGAGTTAAGTGTCGTCATATATTTTTCCATTTTTTCTCTGTTTATCAAATCAAAATTCGGTTTTCTTAACCCCCTGAGTGACATACCCGCTTTTAAACGGGTATGTCACTCATGAGACTTATTGTCACTTAGATTAATCAGTATTAGATAACAATTTAAAATATTTGTCTTTCCTTCTTTTTACTTCCTTGTACGAAGTAAAAAGGAAGTATTGTAATCGCGAAAAGTTTCAGGCAGCATATTTCAACGAAAATATCCATTTTGACCGCTATCGAATGCAATTTAACGATGTTTTTGCTTGATATCTGTACGTAAGGACAGAATAAAATACTCTTTTCCTTCAGAAAAATTATAAAACTGCTTTAAAATTAATTCTGAAGAGAATTTTTCGTGGCGTCTGTACGAACGTATGTACGTACGCGCGTGCGTACGTACGTATCTCGCATAACTCCAAAACGGGTAGCCTCAGAACGATGAAATTTTGTATATAGGACTGCTATAACATGTAAATGTGCACCTCGTATTTTGGTTGCAATCGGCCGCACCAAACGTATATAAATATATTTATATATATATCCACTCTATTACCCGGCTCAGTGATCTCAGTTTCTTTACTCTTATATGTTTGTAAATTGTACATTTTTTGCTTTAAAAATGATTGAATTATGTTTTTTATCTTCCGGTTAAAGATTTTATGCCTTTAGTAAATCTGTATGCAATATTTTTTAGAATTATGAGCAATTTTAAAAGTTCTTTAAGTACCGCTAAGCCTGTTTTTATGGCGGCCATTGATGTTTACATTTGAAACAGGAGACTAGTGGATTTGTGCCAATCTAGAGAAAACTTAGCTTCGCAACAACAAAGATAGCACATTCATTCATTATTGCCAATTAAATCCTGCTTAATTCTTTCTGGAATTTTTTCGAGGAAATAAGTGTTTAAGATTTACTTCGTAATTTTCAATATAGATATTTTGAGTTTTTATGTATTTTTGCCTTCTCGCGAAGTGAAGAACTGGAATTAATTGAATGAGAAATACTGAATTCGTCTGTGAAAAACTGTTTCATTTTTTGTTGTTGTTTGCTTAATTTCTTTTATACATCAGTTTCTAAAGCTTTATTATAGTATTTGAATAGAACATGTGGCAACGATTAGATAATTCTTTAAATGATATACATTTTGTGCATTCTGAGTTATAATATGAATGAAATATAATACTTTTAAGTGAACCTAGCGCCAGAGTGTCGCTATGGTAAACAAAGTGAATTTTAAAGAATGCATTTATTCTAGTGTAGTTTATGCGCTGTCGGCGAAGTAGGTTTAATTCAATCTAATAAGTTTAAATAAAATGCAAGAAAAAATGCGTATAATTTAATATTCCGTACAAGGAAGTCATGTGGTGTACACATCAGATTTTTTTAATAATGTAAATATTATTTTAATGAATGGAAGTTTATGAAAACAGGCACTAAAATGATAATGATTAAAATTTAGCTATTACAAACTGCTTAATATAGGTTTTGATGAGCAAATCCAGTGCCACTCGGATGGTTTTAACAGGTACAGGTTTCCCGTTAGTATACGTTAAGTATCACCAGGGCTTGCTGTTAAGCTTTCTGCTCCAGTCTCGAGAAAGAATATCGCTCTTGAGAAGACTTTCTGCTCACCTGGTATCTGAATCCTTCTTGCCGCATATACGCATATACATTTACAAATATCCATGCCTTATCCGGGATTCGAAACCTGGGTCCATCAGTACGGCAGTCAGCGTCACTAGCCACTATACAGATGGGTGGCAGTTTTCTTAACATGATGACCTACAAAACTATTCTTGTCTTTTTAACTTTAATATTAAACATACTTTGTTCACACTCACGGAACATAAAATTCAACAGCAAAACCACAAATCATTTAAAAACAGCATATCTTTAGAATACCTGATAAACTATTAAGTGTCACCATACATTTTTTATATTCACTATAATATTTCTTTAAAAATAATATACAGCGATAATATTTAGTGGTAGCATCCTCTTATTTGAAAAGAGACGCAAAATTACAAGGTCAGAAAAGTGAGAATCAAGATTAATAATAGAGCCGGTGTTTAAAAAAAATCTGAAAGAATTCAGATTTTCTCAGACAGAATTCTACCAGAGAGTTTGAAAATATTTACGACGATTTTCTTTCATACGTGTATGATTTTATATATAATTTTGGAAAACTTAATTAATAATCAATAATTCTTATTATATCGTGCAAAATGCTGCAAAAGTAATTAAATAATGTAGAATGATATATGTTAAATAGAATTAATATCATATCTTGCTATAGTGGTAAGCTTATAGATTGGAAACTGTAAAAGATATTATTCAAAAATTGTTGAATCAAAACTGAAACAAAAGTAAATTTATATAATAAAAATTTTCTCACAATATTAAAAAATGTTGAAAATTCTATGATCTCTGTCAAGGAGTAGCCAAATGAATTTTCAACAGAGTTACGTTTCTGAGCTATGAATGTTTGAGGAAAAAAAGTACTTCTTGGCAACCAATATATATATATTCTACCAATAGATATATATATATATATATATATATATATATAATTGTTATATATATATATATATATTGGCTTAGAAAGGAAGTTATTTCCGTTTTTTATTGTGAAATAAAACTTAATTTTTTCTATGCAAAAGTAAAATTTAAACGGTCAAATATTTTCTATTCTGTTAGAAGACTTTTGCCATCTTTCTGGGAACTTCATGATTCCAGGCTCGTAGAACTTCTAGTTTTTATTAGCAAAAAACTCAACCCAGTGCGATTTGAGGTCATCATTATTACTGAAAATTTTACCATTTAAAAAGTTTCGCAAACTTCAAAATAAGTGATAATCCGATAGTGCAAGGTTGGACCTACATGGGGGATGCCACATCAGTTCTCAACCAAGCTTCTAATAATTTCGTACGTGTTGCTAAAGATGCGTGAGGTCTCGCCTTGTCGTGGTGGAACACGATTACTTTGCGATTAGCCAATGTGAGCCTTTTCCCTTTGATTGCTTTTTCGGTTTCATGAGTTATTGCAATATACATCTGCGTTAATCGCTTGGTTGCTTGAAAACAGCTCAAAATACACATCTTTCTAATTCCTCAAAACTGACAGCAGGATTTTCTGATGCACTTTGGCTTTCGACACCATGCTTAGGGCATAATTTTTTTGGATGAACTGTTTTTGCAGACGATTCATATTTTTGTCACCAGTGATAATTCGTTTTGTAAAAGAGTCGACGGCATTACGTTTGAAATGTGTATCGCAAATGTCTATTCGTTTTGCGTTAAGTGAATTTCTTTCAATTAATGCGGAACCCAAATATCGAGCTTTTCAACGAGTTCAAGATATCTTATGTGATGTTTAATTGTTGTGTGTGATACATTTTACCGTTTTGCAGTCTCTCGCACAGTTACACGACGGTTCAGTTTAATTATGGCTTAATGTTCTTTCATCATCAACTTCAAAAGTAGGGCAGGAACTCTAGTCATCTTCAAGTGAAAAATCTCGAGAAAAAAAAAATTTAACTAGTTTTGACACATGTGTTCTATTACACAATCAAAGCTATGAACTTCACATATCTCTTTGAGCCATTGTGGCTTTCCTGCCTTTATGATAATAAAAAAGTAAAACACTTTGAAAATGTTCATTTTGGAACGCCATGTTAGAATCGACCATTAGCTTATAATTGAAAACAAAAATACACGGAATTTGTTTCTACGGCAACCTAAAAAAAGTGTCAGCTGCCAAATCTAAAAAAAAAAAAAAAAAAAAAAAGGGAGGGGCGAAAATTGGCAGAAGAATAACTGAACGAGCCCAACATTTCTGCAAACCGAAAATTTCTTTTAACCAATTACAAGAAAATTCAATTTTAACGCATAAATTTATATTGTAGAATTCATTAATTAAACGAAAAGAAAACAATACAAAATACACATTTTTTACGGAACTAAACATTTTGAAATGAAGAAATTTGATATTTAAACTCATTCATCAAGATACAAATAATAGATATAACATGCTCCAAACTGTAAACAAATCAGACCAAGAACAGAAGTAAAGTCTACATAGCATATATTTAAATTAACAAGTGTAGCGAAAAAGATCAATAAATAAATTGGAGTTTCATAGTCTATAGTGCGCAGTATACTACTTTCAAAATGGGTAATCGAAAATGCTTCACTCCATATATCTATGCCTACACACAAATATATATAGATATATATACTGGGTGTTCCCGAATACAACGGTCAAAATCAGGGGGGTGATAGTAGGCATCAAGAGGATGAAAAATCACAGTAGAACTTAGGATCGCAAACCACGTTTAATCGGGGAAAATCACAAAATAGACGTCGAGAGTACTGTGAACCTGATGAAAAAAATGGCCATACAAATACGAGGATTAGGAGAACTGCGGTCAAGAAGAAAAAAATTTTTATGTGAAAATTTCCAAAGCGAATGGAGAAAATAAAAAATGTGAGCAAGTATTCATTAGTGAGCATTGCATAATTCGCTTCATTCGAAAACAACATGTCAGATTACACGAACGAAGAATATGCTGATATGCACCTGATTTACGGCCGAGCAAGTGACAACGGACGCTTTGCACAGAGCATGTACCAAGAGCAATATCCGAGGAGGTGTTGTCCATATCATACCACCGTCACGAAAATCGATCGAAGACTGCGGAAGACAAGATCCCTTCAAATAAGGAGGCGTAATGCAGGGCAAGAACGCAGTGTGGCCACACCTGAAATGGAAAAGCGAGTACTGCAACGGTTTGCCATTTCCTCGTCAACCAGTACACGATCGGAATTGAACTGCGCATTCAGCACAAAATGGTGTGGAAGGTTCTGCATGCAGAAAACATGCACCTATTCTACTTGCAGAAGGTCCAATTCCAAGGCGATGGCGATTACCTCCCCCCCCTTTATGGTAGATTTCGTACGTTAGATGCTTGATGCCACATAGATTCACAGTTTCCCACCACCGTTTTTTTCTCAAATGAACTTCCTGAGAGAAAGCGGGGTCAACATTCATAAGGCGCATATGTGGTCGTACGAATATCTCCACAGCACTGTCTCATTGAAAGTGCAACACAAGTTCGGTATTAACATCTGGGCAGGAATTCTCGGAGATCATCTGATAGCTCCGTACCTTCAGTCCGAACACCTCAATGGTTTAAATTATTCTGTTTTTCTACAAAATGTCCTTCAAAATATGGGGAATACTGGCCACTGTGGCGAAAGAACATGGGTTCATGCATGATGGCCCACGAATACATTTTGGAATTGTGATGCGTAACCACCTTGATGCAACACATCCGGGGAGGTGGACTGGACGCAACGGGCCTATTGCTTGTCTTCCACGCTGCTTGGGGCTCAAACCATTGAATGTTTTCTTCTGGGGCCACATGAAAGTGGTTTTTTCTCAGATGCTTGTGGACAATTAACTTCTTTGCTTGGCATTTATGGCTTCCACTGACAGTAGAAACGCAACAATGGGAAAGCTAAGTTGGGTGACGTGATTTTGAAACTGAACTGCGTATATTAATTTATTTTTAATATATTAATCTTAATTAATATTAATTAATTAATTAATTTTAGCATATCATTTTTAATATCATAATCTAATATAGTATATATATATATATAAATTCCTTATTTAGCGTGTATAATTTCCACTGACAGCGGGAACGCAACAAAGGCGATGTGAAAGTAAGATGAGTGTCATGAGAGCAGCAGTCTATTATAAACTCTGTAAGTGTAAACTCCTCATCAGGTAGGTTTTCGAAATCTGGTGTAGACAATGAATTGTCTCTTGTTTTGAGGTCAGGTATGCAAAATATCATCAAGATTGGGATAACACTGTATATTTTTATCAATTACGCTCAAACAAACAAACGGGTACTCTTTTTTTATACATATAGATATATCTCTAAGCTTTTTTTTTTTTTTTTTTTTTTTTTTTTTTTTTGAAGGAGCATGAAATTAGGAGGAAGAGTAATATAATTTTATCTCAAGCAATTCGATTCCTGTTTATGTTCGGGCTGACATGACCATGAGTTTTTAAACTGAATTTAGTTTCCTGAATCAATAGTATGAGACGAATTTTGAATTTTCAAATTTATTAAGTATGAAAGAAGGTTTCTTCTGTTACCTATTATTTCTTAGACAAACGAATATAATGAGCAACACTTGTTACTTATAAGTTAATTATACTAACTAAAGAATTTCATAAGTTTTGTTAACAGTTTTTGCATTCTTTGTTTTCTTTTAACGTCTTTCTACTATCAAAATCAAAATCTTAAACTTACTGGAAAAAATTCTCTGCGTAAACTGTTGTGGTTCAAGAAGGTTTCTTTTCTTAAATGGCTGAAAATTCATCTTCATAGTTGGAGCATTTGAAGCTACAAAGCAATACTGGGTATGGTTTTCCCCTTTCCCGTGAAGAAAATCTTCATGCACTGACACTATATCGAATAATCTCTCTGCAAAAAGCATTTTATTATAAAATCAGAGAAATTCTCACAAAATTCATAAAATATTATTTTCATTGAAATTCTACAGAAGTAATGCCTGAAGTAACACTCTATTGAAATGAGTGATATATTTAAGTGTACTTCAAAGCACGACAGATCAATAAAATGAATTTTATGTTTTATTCGCTTTTAAAACGCACTGCCAACAAAGATCTCCCTCTTTTACGTAGCTCTCTTTCTTTGTTTATATATAAAGTCAACTGATTTCACGTTTTAGTCTAATCGAAAGCAATCATCCACGCACCCCAGTCCAAAATTCTTTCTGAGAAAAAAAAGGCTTTGATTTATAAAAATTTATGACTCACATTATGCAAAAAAATAAATAAATAATAAATAATGAAATAAGTATTTAAAATTCTTAGATATCTTTGTGAAATTTCCTTTAGATTTTATTAACACTTATCATTTAAGCTATTTATTTATTTAGTTTAATTTGCTCGCTTCGTCACATAGTCGCTTAGTCCAGAGGCTTTTGTAAAGTTAGAAGTAAACGGAGTAGTTTAAATTGAGAGAAAGAATCGTAACCGGAGTGGCTTTTAGTATAGTAGGTTGAAGCTAGTTCAGCCCCTCTGTAATACCATAAGTAATTGATGCGTTACTAAGCTAACTGTTAAGCTTCCTCCTCAAATCTGTAAGAAAACACTTCGGAGACAGACTGTTTGAAAGTCTTCCATCAGTTATCTCTTATTTCTTTTCTTGAAAGGATATTCGGCTCACGGTGTATTTTGTGCCTCCCCATTTGCCGTACAGACACTAAATCTTTATAAACATCCTTGCTTTCTCCGGAATTCGAACTCGAGCTTGTCGGTATTATAACCAGCGTCGTTAATTATTCTACCGGCTCGGCGGTTATGACTTACAATAGAGACTTGGCAGTGGGCGCTGCTGTCTGCTTACTTGTTTGAGAGAAAAGTTTTAAATTCAGCGTGAAGGACCTAACATTTAGCACTGGTTTTGGTGAGAGCAAATTTTAGTATAGTTTGCTCAACACAGTTCGTATCGTAACTTCTAGTAGAATCACTGTGTTGCATCCAATTAATTTATTGTAAATTCCCACCTAGCATTCCTACTAGCATTTTAAGTTCCCCTGTAATCAAGGGGACTTGAAATTTGTTTTTATTCTATTTCAACTTCAACTAATCAGGCGTGAGGAAATAAACTTAACTTTGAACTTCTGTGTTTTAATTTCCCCCAAAGGCAAAAACAATAACGGTAAAGCTGAGGGTCAGTGTATTACTGTTATAGTATTAGTGCTATAGAAGAAGTTAATTAGGTAGTATCTCACTTCTCAATAGTTTTACCTTAAATATATTCCTTCCTTGATGGTTTCTGAAAATTTGCGTCAATTTCTTGCGAAATTAAGAGCAGAATTTCATACTTTTTGTTTTTTAAATACAGATTTATAACAGCATTGGCGGCAAAGAAATAATATACTTCCTTTTATTCTGTCAAATGAAAGCAAACGTTTTAATACCGATCATGATTTTTACGTGCCGTGTGGCAGCCTTAGAGATAAATTAAAAGATTTATTAAATTTATGCAAAAAGTTAAATGATAAAGATAGCATTTTTGTCTTATGTAGATAATCAGCAAGACGTAAGGAAGTTTCAACGCTTTCTTTATAGCTAACTTTGCTTCTTTCCAACAGTTTTTATTTCTTAAACTCTGATATTGTATTGCATGTTCGATATTTCTTACCTATAATCAAATAGACACAGAAATCTCTCATGCGTTCCAAGTCTTCTGAGCTTATGGTTTTGTAAACTCATTCTCAGAGTCAATTGAATGGAACTTTCTAAAGTGATCACCTCTTGTAGACAACCAGTTTGCTAACATGACAATCTTTGGGTATATCTGAAAACCTAAATAAACACCAAAAATGCACGCCACCTTCCAAAGAAGACCTTCTCCAGAATGTAAAAAAATAGTTTTATTTTCAGATTCTGATTTATAATGTATGCTCGATATTTGGAGTATAAATACAAATTCGAAGTATCTCCTTTCAGATAAACCCTAAATTATCTATTTCTTCGTTGAAGTCCGTTATAGTGAAAGTTAAAGTAATTAATAATATATAACAGGAAAAGGCACGAATACAGTTTTGAAGTTAATTAGAACTCTCGCTCTGAACTGGAGAGTGAAAAAAAAAATTCAGCACATTTTTTCATTCCCACAAAAAAGAAGAAAGTAAGAAAAAAACTATAGTTCTGCAAATTTACTCCTAATACGTTAATTTCTGTTGCTTATCTTTAGTTGCTTTAATCTTTTACTTCTACGACGTGTTTTTTTCTCATTTAGTTACAGTCAAACGTCTCGTAGGTTTATATAAGTATAAAGGCCATCAATATTTACCGTAAGTGAGTGGGTATTGACTTCATGCACTACATGTCCAGATTACCAACAACCTGCCAACCTTACATCTTCAGATGCGGCAACGATGATGAAGGTAATTCAGTAAACAAAGCAATCATAATGATTCGTGGTAATTAGCTAGTACAGCAAAGTTTTTGATCTTTAGCAGCTAGAAAATCCATAATGTTTGAAATTTTGTTTCTTGTATGTTTGTTTTGTGTTGCAAATCTTAGAAAAGGTAAAAGTTCCTTCTCTAAGCTAGTTTTTTTTTAGAATTTGTAATGAATTTGCTAGTGGACATGAAAAAATATAGTTTTTTGATTCTCTCCTTTCTCCACATACACAAGAATCTGTTCTTGCATAAAAATACGTGGGAAAGGGACCGTTTCCAGTGATGAACCGTGTGATTTGTTTGGTATTACATGGAAGAGAAAAGTCTATTTTTGGTAAACAGGTTGCTTTTTCTTCTTTTTATGTCGGTGGTATCCCTCCATTGTTGACATAGATGTTAAGTAGTAATTCGTAATTTTGATTTTGGTGTGAATCTGGCCATGGAATATAAATTTTTATAGCAGTATCAAATCAATCAACCTTGAGCTGCTTTATTGGCTAACTGATCTGCTTCCTCATTGCTTTATGCCCAAACTGAACTATATATATTATGCAAAAATGTTGAATTTGAGATTTTGAGGTTCTATCAAGAATTTCTTCAATAATTTATGATTTATTGCTTGTATTAGCAATGGCGAGCACTGCAGATAAACAATCAATATAGATTTACGCATTTGAGAAAGGTGCTTTATGCTTTGCTCGATTGCTTGAAGAATTGCATAGACTTCTGATTGAAAAACACCATTTTCTTGTCAATTTAGTATTTAAAGTCTTGTGATTCTAGCTAATTGTGATATATTTTAATTGTACATCCTTTTCCATTTTTGATGTCAAATCTAACAGTTGGAAAAAAGGTTTGAAATTTATCATATTTTATTGCATAAGTTAATGTTAATTTTAATAGCTGGATGTCTTTATAAGAATGTGCTGGGGAATAATAGTAAATGACAATTGTTATTTCATTATTGAATTTAAATTTATTTTAGTTGCAGAATTGCAGTTTTTGTAGATTCTTGATATGCAGTAATGAATAATTGAATACTATTTGTTATGTGGTATACTGCAGTATTAGTTGTTCGATATCCTTTGGAATAGTTTAGAGGAAAGGTCTTTGTATAGATCACATTCGTTTTTTTTTCTTAGGGCCCAAATTGCTGCACCACATAATACTTTTTTTCTATAACTTTTGTAAATTAATTTTAGTATTTGTGATTTAGTCTCCATCCGGTGCCTTGCATTTTTTTTAGATTAATCGCAATGTTAAATGTTTTTTTTTTATTTCTTGAAGATGAATAAGAAATAAAACAATTGATGTGAAAGGAACAAAAATCTTTCACATAAAAACAAAAGGTTACGAGAATTTCACCTCACCTAGAGTTTCTTGCTTAGCGGACGGTACAAAATGAAAACCCATGATTAGTTTCAAAAGAAAGACAATGCCGAAATGTAATTTCCCTAATAAATATTTTATATGTCGCGCATTTAACAAACTAAGACATTTAAGTACATTATCTTCTATTCAGCATAGTTTTATTAAGGAATCATTAAGTTAGAATAATTTTGAAGTCTTTATTTAACTAAGTTAGAGAATTTGCTTTACTTAAGTAGAGCACAAATCAAAATTAACAGTCTTCATTAACATTTAAATTGAAGTATTGGAAAACGAACTCACAAGAGACTAATTTATAAGTTTTTAAATACCTTCAGGCTTATCCATTAGGCAATAATATCAGTAGTATATTCAAAAAAAAAAAAAAAAAAAAAAAAACGGGGGGGGGAGAACGTAGCTGAAAAAGAAAATCTTAGACCCAAGTACAACGCAAATACAAAATAATTTTTAAGACTTCTGCATCAAAACTTAGGTAGAATCCCCCCTCACCAATATATCGTTTGGCGCTCGTTTGTTTTTGATGCTGCCGATTTTCATTATGCAAAAGTGACACGAATTTATTTTAAGAGCTTTTCATTTGTGTTCTCGAAAAAGAATGGATGGACGAAAACAGTGTAAAACTGTGGATAAGAAATGTTTGGTCAAAGCTTCTTGTTGAAGAATTCCGTCTTTTATTTTGGGACATGTTTACTTCATATTAGGATGGATAATACGAAGAAATTGTTTAAAGAGTGTAATACAGACATGGCAGTTATTCCAGGCGGATTAATGTCATTAGTTCAGCCTAAGATATGTGTATCAGTAATTCTAATAAATTTGAGCCTTTTGTAAATTAGTTTGACTGAATTTAGCTGCAGGGGGTGCTTGACTGTTTTAAAAATGTTGTGGTATTGAGAGTATTCTTTATTCTTGGTTGTAAATTAAGTGTAGCTGTTTTTTTAATTTTCGGTGCCATAGTCAGTATGATCTTCTGTTTTTTTTTTTAAATTTTTCAACCGTACATTTTAAAGTTAGGTATATATGCAACATGATGAACATTTATGTTACAGTTATCGGCATTATTATAAAGATTACACTTTATGCAATTTAGTATAGTGTGTGCGATGTGATATAGCATTTTATGCAATGTGGTCTCGCGGCCTTAAAGATTTTCATATTATGCATTTCACCACAAAATGTATAGTATAGCTTATGTGGAGAGTCTCTAGCTGAGTGATTATATTCTTGACAATTGTAGCATCTACATCCTCCGAAGAATTACATATTGTGGTATTCTCTCCAACCAGTAAAGAATAGTCTAGTTTCTTTCAAGATTTTAAATGTTGTGAGAGAGCAGACGATTATCCATTTTATTTTGCCAATAGGTTATCAGTAATTTTGAATGCTACTGTAGAGTCTGCTTTGGAGGCAGAAAGAGCTCCATTGTTGTAGTTCCCATACCTTCCGCTATATACCATACGGTATATGTCCTACTGCTCATTTTGGATTTCTTATCCGTGGGATTATTGTACTAAACATTTCTTTGATATTTTGATTATTATCTACATTTTCATGTAAGTTTTTAACCTCTTCTGTACTGCTATAAGAAACTGCTAATTAATTTGGTGATTCTTTTTATTGAAATTGCAAGGTTAGATACTGGTGTACATTTTTTTAGTTCCTCTTGAAATTTTAGAATCTGCGTGAGTTCTCATTTGGAAGGATAAGTATGGTTAGGCCATTTGGCTTCTTAGACTAGGAATATTTTTTTAATTATTTGTGATTTTGCTAATGTTTCGTTATTATCATGCTGTACTTCTTTTAATGTTCTTCTGGGTAGAGAATATTTATGATTGCAACAATTATCACTGGATATGAATATTTTTGAAAGATGTATGCTATTTATAGTGACTGCTTGTTATAGAAGATGAATAAGGGGCTTTCTTTTGCTATGCTCCTGAGAGTCTCTACATATGAATAGATATTTTCAATCAAATCTGTGAGACTGCATTTTCTATTGCCCTTTTTTGTTTTAAATAGTTTTACAAATTTAGCAAAGATAACATTAATAAATTCTACTTTTTATTCTTGAGAATTGAATTCTGCATTTATTTTGTGTAATTAAGGTATCATAATTCGATGTTATTTGCTTTCCTATAATAGCTGATGCTTGAAGTGTTGAAGAACTACCTTCTGAAGTTGAAGAACTACCATTTTCATTCTCTAAGTAAATATCTGTAGAGTTAGATTCAGTTTCCATGTTAATGGTTTGAACATCTATAGAACAAATATTTGAGTTTCTTGATTTTAATCTAGAAAAGCTCGTTTTAATACTGTACATTCTACATTTCCTTTAACTGTAATTCCACAATAGGAAAAATAAATCAGGAGAATTTTAAATATTGTTGATATTTTGAAATTAATGATGTTAGATGTAAGAATTATGGTCCTTAATACGAAATATTATTAATTTTAAGATTTGGATATAATATCCTAAGATGAAATTAATTTTTTATGCTTTATTTAATTTGATTTGATACTGCGGCAAGCACACAGATCATGTGCAATTTATTATATTATTTCACTCTCATTTTCTCAATTTAAAAATGGTTCGGTCACAAATTTAAATAAAAATACAAATCTAATTAAAATATATATTGAATTCTGATAAATAACTGAAATTTTTGCGATTAGGTTGCTGTAGAATATTTTTTAAAGGAACAACAATTTCCTAAATAATATTGAATGAAAATTTCTTTCTTTGAAATTCGTTACTGTTAAGTGCTTTACTTTCAATCTTTAAACTCAGAAAACGTTTAGTTCTCAATTCTTCGTTATGCACCTGTTGCACAGTCACAAGTTGTATATTAAACTTCTCCTCACGTGAAAACATTTCCGTTGGTATAAAATCAGTTACGATAATATCCTTTTGTCCACACTTTAGAAATTAATCATTAAAACAGAGCGCAAAAATTAGCAGTTTACGTTAGGCGTTGCATACGAACTTTGAAACTTGTCTTAGGTTCACTGTGGCAGCACATTCATTTATTTTGCGTATTTGTTCAGACTTCTAAACAGAAAAATCATTTATTTTATTCTGCACATTATTTAAACATTCATTTATAAAAATTTAACCTATTTGAATATTTTGCTGTCTCAATTCTATAAATCCTACATAAACGTAAATCTTAAAATTTAAAAAAAATATAGATTAAACTGAATATAAAATGCCTGATATTTAAATGCAAAAATAAATTTGTTTGAAATTTTAAAATACTGTTTTTTTTTCCTTTAAATAAGAATAAATGCAATAATTAATAGATATATTATAGAAATGCAAGGTTTCACGTAAAGAATTTCAAAAGACAGTAAATTAAGATACTGTCCGAACCATCAGCACGAAATATCAAATGCGTTATTATGCACGGCTTTTTTTTTTTCTAAAGAAAGTACTGGAACGCATACCCACAGTTCTTTAAAATTTTATATTACTGTTTGAAAACGTACATGAGTACTAAAGTTACTAAAAGTCTCGTTAAATGTGTTAAATATTGTATAAATAAAACCCATAATTTTCTTTTTTAAGTACTTAGAATATTTTTTTAATGTGTCGAGGATTACCTGTGATTCTTGGACTCACAAATTCGAAAACAAAAGTTTCGTTGACTGCATTCAAGCTGCAAATAAAGTTCAGTAAATATTCGAAAAGATAAAGATTCTCAGACATAAAATTAGATAAACATGATTTATATGTAAATAATATAAATTCCCAAAAGCATAAAAAAGACGAAATTAAACTCATAATAAAACGATTTAAATGCTGTTAGCAAATTTACAGAGAAGATAGAAAGCACCTCTTTTTACTCAGTTATGAAAATTAACTAGGAAAAAACACTTTCTATTATAGAAAATATGTAACAAAATTATAAACGGTAATAGTAATTGAATTAAGTGAATGATAATAACCGGAAATAAAAGTTAAACATTTAACAGCAAATACGATGCTATTAATTAACATCCAGAAAAGGAAATGGTAACACAAATATGAAGCATTTTGAAAGTATCTATACATTACTACGTAATATTAAACAAAGGAAATAATTTCTTTATTTAACGTAGCCTGTTACAAAATTTTACTATAATTCTTTTCGATCAACAAATTTATATTATAAGAACGCATCACTATTATTGGCAGTCATAAAATTTTGCTAGTCATTTAAAGCTCAGTGTGACATCATTGTCAGTGTGACATCATTTGTAAAATTTTCCCAAATACACTTCATAGAATTTTTTATTAAAAATTATTGAAGAACAATTTATTATTATAGAATTAAATTTATATATAAAATGAATACTATAATTAGTAATATTTAAACCCCTTTTGAGAAATGCCAAAAATAAAATGCATCGTACTTCCTAACAGAACGTAGTAATAGAGCAATTGCGTTTTATTTTATTTTTAGTATTTAAAATACATTTTGAAGTTGAAAGCCTATAAATTTCGTTTCCAGGTTAAAAAATTGAAATTTTTAAGCTATATGTATCATTTTTGCTTCCTTGCATGAAGTAAAGGAAGTATTGAAATCATAAAAAATTTCGGGGATCATATTTCAACGAAAATATCCATTTTGACCGCTATCGAATGGAATTTAACGATTTTTTTGCGTGACATCTGTACATAAGGACAGAATAAAGGACGCTTTTTCCCAAAACGGTTCATGAAATAGATTTAAAATGGATTCAAAACATAGTTTTTCTTGACGTCTGTACATACGTATGTAAGTATGCGAAAAAAAAATGGGACAGTTCTGTATCTGCCGTTTTACTGGACCGATTGACGAAATTCAAATTGCGTTTTTCAACTCTCGAAATTGCGACTTAGGATATATATTAGATTTATATATAATATTACTCTAACAAAGGTATTTTGACACAAAATCGGACTTTTTCTGAAATAACGTATGATTTTTTTTTTCTATTTCGATTCTACGACTCAAATTATGCCTAGATATTAAATTTTGCAATTTTTGGTGAGGAATTTATGGAAAAATTAAAAAATTTATCTAGGCGGACTTTTTTCAGTTTGCGCCAAGAATAATTTACTTGGAGGAATTCTTAATTTATAGTAACTTACTTACTATCCATTATTTTTAATTGATGCGCGATAGGAAAAAAAGTCCATTGTTCATTCTTTCAAATAATTTTAGCAAAGTGCGTGATCCACATTTTCGTTATTATCGATTATATTAAATACGCCAACTTTCAAAACGCGTCAAAATGTAAATTAATGTATATCTTAGGAAATTTTGAATAGAAAACTCTAATTTTTTGAAGATGTGCTTAGAAATGCATCATCTTTAAGCTAATGTTAAAAATTTTATAGGTTATAGTTCAAAATATTTTTCGAAAAATTTATAAAAATAATTAAAATATAAATTTTTAAAATAAATAGTAAAAAGTGTGCTAATTATATTTGGATTAAGCCTAAATTTCGAATTCTGGAAGAAGGGATCATGTAAGTTTAATCAAAAAAGAGATACTAACAAATATATACCATGTATTCAATTAACAATGAGGAGCTAAAATTTTGAAAGCTAATTTTTAAAAACTACTCGCGTGATTTTTACAAAATTTGGCATTTTGGTATAATGAGTCTTAGAATCGAATTATGGAAAAATACTGTCATGCCATTTCAGAAAAAGTCCGATATCCTATGTCTCGCTTTCGAGACATGAAAAACGCAAGTTGAATTTCGTCAATCGGCCCAGTAGAACGGGAGATATAGAACTGTCTCATTTTCCTTTTTTGCGCAGTCTACGTACGTATGGATGTATCTCGCATAACTCAAAAACGATTAATCTCAAAACGTTGAAATTTTGTGTATAGGAGTGCTATAATATGTCCAGTGCACATCCTTTTTGGTTCAAATCGGCCGCAGCACCAAAAGTATATATATATATATACCCACTTTGTTACTCGGTTCGGTGAGCTCAGTTTTTTTATTCTTATATGTTGGTAAATTGTGCATTTTTTGCTTTCAAAATAATTGAATTATGTTGTTCTTATTTTCCGTTTAAGGTTTTTAGACCTTTAGCTAATCTGCATGCAATAATTGTAGAATGATCAACAATTTAATGTTGTTTAAGTGCAACTAAGCCTAAGAGAGCAGCCGTATTTGTTTACATTTAAAACTTAGCAGAATAGTAAATTGAGTCAGTTTCTGTACATCCAGTGCCTTTTTACAGAGGGAAACCAGTAGTAAGTACAGTTTTGCGCACCGAAAAATCTGTCTTCTTACCCGCTGGCCGAATTGCTTCTATATGTCTTTCTACATTTTTCCATTTTTAATGAAGATAATTTCAGTTTTTATGTATTGACGCGAAGTGAGATCTGAATTAATTGAATGAGAAATATATCTCCAATAAAATTCGAGGAAATAAGTTTAAATGAAATGCAGCATAAAATGTGCATATTTTAATAGGTCGTACAAGGAAGTTATGTGGCGTTCAGATCAGATTTTTTAATTAAATATTGCTACTGAAATATAGGATGCTGCACTTGACAATAAAATATGTACACTGCGCAAAATAATAATAATAATAAATACAAGCCCCCCTCAAAAATCTGAAAGGTTTCAGATTTTAAATTACGCCCAAAGAGGCGTTTATTTAACGTTTTGTGTGTTACATTTATTTATTAAATAACATGTTCTTTGTACTTAAACCATAAAATTCAGTTCAGTATCAATGTCGCAAAATAATTTTAAAATGAACATATCTTTAGAATTTCCGATACACAAATCCGCGCCCACTGAAAATTAAAAGGTTCCCCCCCCCCCCCGTTGTAGAGTGTTGCCATTGCTCGCTTTTAAATCGTTGAGTTTGTTACTGAAAAATTTGTTAAAGTTTTACAAAATAGGAAATTGATAATAAAAGAAATTCCAAATTTCAAATTTGGTCTTCCACATGCCCATATTCGTAGGAGGATTACGTCATTCAAAATTCGATGGCTCAATGTACCGTTGTTGCATCACAGTGCGAGAAATACACATACATTTATGCAGATTTTTCATTATTTAATTTCTTCAAATATAATGCAAGAATCTAACATTTGGTGAGAACAGTTTGAAGAGTGAAATATAGTGATTCAACGCAAAATCTCAAAACGGAAAAAACAATAGTATTTCAGGGACAAAGCCCCTTTGGACTAAAAAAAGGAGGACAGTTCTATATGTCCCGTTCTACTGGGCCGATTGACAAAATTCAAATTGTGTTTTTCATGTCTCGAAAGCGCGACTTTGGATACATATAGCATTGTTCTAACATAGGTATTTTGACACAAAATCGGACTTTTTCGGAAATAACATGCCAATTTGTTTACATTTTTCGATTCTACGACTCAAATTATGCCTAGATATTAAATTTTGTAAAATTTGGTGCGAAATTTATCTTTCAAAAATTTATCTTGGCACAATTTTTTAAGTTTTCGCCAAGAATAATTCACTTGGCGAAGTTCTTAATATGTGGCAACCACTTTTACTTTCCCTTCCATTATGCCGGAACGGAAAAAAATGCACCTTGTTCCTACCCTTTTACATTGTGCATGAGCGGAAAAAAAAGTGACCTCGTTTCTACTTCCAAATAATTTTAGCAAAGTATCTAAACCACATTTGATGTTTTATCGCTTTCAACAAATATGCCAAATTTCAAAACGCACCAATATATAAATTCACATGTATCTTATCTTCGGAAATTTTGAATAAAGAAAACTGTAATTTTTTGCAGATATGCTTAGAAATACGTCTACTTTAAGATGATGGTAAAAATTTATAAAAATTTTTTAAAAATATACAAATTTTAAAAATTAAATTATAAAAAATGAGTGAATTTTATTCGGAATGAACATGGATTTCGAAATGTGAAAGGAAGAATCAAATAAGTTTAATAAAAAAGAGAGATTAATAAATATATACCAAATTCAATTAACCTTGAGGAGCTAAAATTTTGAGAGCTAATTTTTTAAAAACTATTCGTACGATTTTTACAAAACTTGGCAGTTTGGCATAATTTGAGTTTTAGAATCGAATTATGGAACTGTCCCCCCTTTTTTTGTGCAGTGTTCTTTGCTATGTATATAAGCAGGTATCACATCTAGAATTAATCGCATTATATTGAAAGGTTTATATTATTGATTCATGAAGGATTTCTGTTAACCCTTTTTTTTAAACTTTTTCTTTAATTGATAGTTATGTTCTTAAGGAATTATATCTGATGTTTCTTATTGTTTGTTTTATAAATTTCTAAAAAGCAAAAGCAAATATATGATACGTGCTGGGTAGTTTGTTTTACGGAAGAATAGTACATTTGTGTTAATCGTTCCTTAAAACTTTTTCTTGAATGAATAGTTACATATTAATGAATCATTTATGGGTTTTCTTATTGTTTGTTTTATAAGTTTGTTTCTAAAAAGCAGAAGCAAGTATGTAATACGTACTGGGTAGTTTGCTTTCCGGAAGAATAGTACATTTTTTACCTACAACCCCCCCCCCCATTTGTAGAAACTACTGCATGTTACATAGCTTAGTCATTCCTTAGCCCTAAATAAAAATCTTAAACATTTCCTTATGTTTTTCTAATGGATCACATTCGATTAGTTTGAGTAATGGATCACATTCGATTAGTTGAGTAATGGATCACATTCGATTAGTTTGAGTGTTTAAAATTTTCAGGAAGTATCAGGTCTTAGTGAGAAAGTCAGATTACATGAAAGATAATAAATACAACAAATTAAGAAATGCTTTCAAGTTAGGTACCGATAACCGGTACGTAATTTTATAGCTGGTAACTGCACGAACAGACTGTTGTATCTTGAAGAACATACACTATAAATTCATTTAAGGCATCCAAGATGCTCTGAAACCACAAAAGAAAGTGGCGAATGAATTTACTTGGTGTTAGATGATAATTTAAAGATATATCAGACTTACTCTTTTGACATGTATCCAAATCGAACTGAACCCATATTTATTCCCTTGAAGTGTTTGAAACTCAGTCGAACGTCTCTCGCATTCGTATTCCATATGGATATTCTTAAATCATGAAGGGCTGATTTGCATACAGATGAATTCTATTGAACAATAAAAAAGTATTTTTACAGCAAAACAACATACGATGCATAGCTGATTTGCATATGGACGAATTCTACTGAAACTAAACAGTTTGAAAATAACTAAACAGTTATTTTACCATACTAACTGTGAGTTTAATTTACTTTAAAATGCGTATATGCAAAGCTAATTGATGAATAAATAGGGAGCGTGTATTATTTTCGTTAACCTAAAAATCAGTACAAAAAATTTACATTGTTTCCTATGACGCAGAAATTACACTTAAAAAGTAAGCTCGTGTTTGAAGTATGCATTATTGTCATTTATATTTTTATGAATAGTTTACATCAATAAAACATAATTTGGATGCATGAAGGCTGGAAATAAGTTTTGAAATATATACTAAATTTTGTAGTTTGTAAATTTCTGGGGAACATTTGTTTTCCTTTTTATAGCAAATACATACATACTTTTCTTTACAAATACAGAACCAAATACGTATTTTTCTTTAGGGTAGAAAACTTTTCAACCATGAAAAGCTGTTATACGTATTTTATGTTCTTTCTCTTTTAACCTACTAAGGACCTAAGTAATAATTTGATACAGCCCGTTGTTTGTTTCTAGTCGAAAAGGGGAGCAAGGTTACGGTTTTCAGAATGAATTACATGCCTTAAGCATAAGTAATATTATATGAGTTCTTTTTTTTTTTTTTTTTTTCTTTTTTTCATCTTTTCTTTTAATACATTTTAGGTTATGACAAGCAAAAGGGAAAATTTTCCAGCTAACGGAATTCGTGAAGAAATGTGTAAAAGTAATAATAAATAAAGATGATGTAATAAAAAAACTTTCGTTTCGATGACAATTTCCCAGTTTCAGTCAACTAAAGGACAGCGAAATCTGTAGTATGAGTTTAAATCCAGAAACTATCTCTGTCAATAATGAAGAAAGTGACGAAGAGGCTTTTGAGAATGAAAAGAGTTCAATAGACAGTTTAGTGGGAATTCTGTACTCGTAATTACAGGACCTGACCTACTTTGTATCTGAATAAGAAATTATGTTTCTCTATAAAATTAAAGAGACAGTATTAGTTCCAAAAAAAGCGAAAATAAATTACATAGAAAGAAATGTTTAATAAAATAAATAAAAGCTGAGTTTTTAATAGATGTTGAGTTCCCTAAGGTCTTAATTATTTCATAAAAACTATTTAATATGTTTAATTTCATAATTTCCATATGTCAGCTTACTAGATTTAAACTGATCCGTAAATCCAAACATTCTTAAATTCTGGATTCTCTGAAATCCAAACTATTCCAGATCTCCGACTTTGCACTATAAATAAAAACTAGCTTAATTAAAGTTTGGTTTAGAAATCATTAATTAATTTTACATAAGTTTTACTAGAGTGCAAACAATTGGATAGCTTGAGTTCAGTTGTATCCGTTTTGAAATGACGATAAACTGCAGTTAAATACTGTGCCTTATATATACTTTTAATAAACCTGTTAAACTGCAAACTTTGGGCTTTCTCAATAGACTAGAAAGTAAGTTTCAAGGCTTCTGAAAGGTGGGCCTAAGTTAAAGGTATACGTACACTAAAACTGTTATATCTTTAAAATTAATTTAAATTTGGGAGATTCTCTTCGCACTTCGAAAGTATACAGGGTGCTCAAAAAATATAGGGCTTAAAAATTTGTAGAGGATACCATAAGCATGTTTCATAGTAGAATGGGTGCCCAAAAATGACGCGTTTAATCGTCATATATGGTGCAGATTTTGGCATTCGATGACATCTGGTAATAAAGGCATCATTTCCTAGCGGAGATTTACAACTATCACTTTACAAACGCAGAGTTTGCAGATATCCATCCGATGCATGCGACAGCGAGCAAAAATGGACAAGCCGCTCAGAGACTGAACATGGAATGATTCCTAACGAGAGAACTGCCGAATCGCCAAAGTTTGAGCGGACGTACCTCCATCTCTGCGAAAGTAGGTCTTCCAATGCTAATAAATGTGATGCGAATTGGTCTATCATATCTGTCGGACCACTTTTGAAGTGGCCTAGAATATCTCAGAACCTCAAGATACTTTTAACTTGCCCAAAATAGGAATCTCATGAAGTTAAGCTTTTTTGTTTAGAGATAAAGCAGAAAACAAATACTTCTTACATACCAAAGAAAAAATATTTGTTCCCCAGACTTGAATTTTATCATCAGTTCTCAAGCAAGGATATCTGCAGTGAACCCTAGTTAAATAAAATGAAAAGAAAATTAGTATTCATTTGCAAATAAGAGAAGACGAGAAATTAAAAAAACAAGGGTTATTTCGTTGTCCCCGATTTAACTTTCATTTTACCTTTTGATTTTTGTTTACTGCAATGCCTCATGTAACACGGAGTTAATTAGCCTGTTTTAACACGGAGTTAATTAACCAAATTTATATGGTTTATTAATTGCAAAATAATTTTATTTAACTTCGGATGAATTTCTCATAATACAGTCCAGACAGTGCTGTTACTGTGGTTGCAATTACTACTCAGCCTTTATTTTCGGATCAGTACAAAAAATGTCTACAAATAAAAGAATACCTACTAACCCCCAAGAAATTAAGGAGATTTCTAGCCTCACTCTAATACATTTACTGGCGACGCAATCTACTGATGAAGAAATACATTCCAGAAATGAAATGAATTTGTAGTAATCTTAGAAAAGATTTCTCACAGTTGAAATGTCAAGAAGAATTATGAATGTGAACCTAAATCTGGAAAAAGTTTTCAAGTTCGCCATATTATTAAATAATGCTTTGAATTACTATAAAAAGTATGAACAAGAAAGAAAACAAAAGAAAGCTCAAACTAATCTTAGATAAATTTTCGTCTAAAAGAACTTAAATTAAAACTTGTTAGCATAATAAAAAATTATACCCTTATATTTATCTCACTTTTCCCCTTTTTATACGTGTGTGTGTTTCATCTTAGTTACTTTTATTTTTATATAAACAGTTAAAGAAAACTATGCAAGAAGATAGTGAGAAATAGCTGCACAAATCACATAGATTATACTTATTTTATATTTGATTAATACGTTATCATTCAATATGGCATTTCACAAAAATAAATTAGCCGTTTCAAATGGAGGATTCTTGCGCTTGAATGCATTTTCTTGTTGGTATGAATATGCATCAACAGCAATATGGATTTCATATTTTGTTCTTTTCTTGTTATACATGTTTATTTATAAAGTTAATCAATTACTGCAAAGCACGTGAGAGCTATCTGCTTCAGGGTAAAGATGTCTTGGTAGAAGAATTTTTAAAGAACAGTGTTTCTTTTTTAATAGCGAATTCCTTACTTTCTCTTATTTCTTTTGTTTTCACATCAAATAAAATGTGATGATATTTTATTTACTAAACAATGAAATTGATAAATTTATTTATAAAAGCATTTTATGAACTTCGGTAATATTTGTTTTTACGCAATTAATTTAAAATTTTATAAAAGATTTATTTTATGAATTAACAGAATGCAATTAATAGGGCGATTATTTCTCATTTCCATTCAGTAGTTATTAGAAAATCAAATATTCAGTTTTTTCATGTAGCTTCATAATATTCGTTTAGAAAACTCTTAATATGCTTTTACTTTCTCAATCGCGGCTTGAGTAAAAGACCGTAAGAAGGTCAATATTGTATTTCCGAAGAAAAGACGAAGCCTTTTGCCAATTCATATTGTATAAAATCATTTCCAGATTTTGCGTATAATAACATGGAATCTGGAACATACGGTTACAACAGGTGTTCAACTGCACAATAGTTTCAAGCTGTATCGATGTTGTTTTTGCCACAGGACAATATTTAAATTTTTTTTGTATGAAGTACATTATCTACGATGCTATCTACGATGTCTATCATGGGGAGCCGTTTATTGAACAATGAAGAGTAAGAAAATTTATTCATCGAGATTATAAGAAATCATCGCATTCCTTGTTCATGCTCTTCTGGTGAAAGTATTTAGCATCTAGAAAATGGAAGATGCGAGGTTTGAATTCCGGTGAATGGAACGTTGATTTTTCATGAGTCAATCCCGGTGAGTAGACAGTTAATCTTTCATGCTTCCTGGTCCGAAATATCTTGGTGTCTACGGTGGCACTGTAAATAAAATGTAGTGGAACATAATTCTACGCCACCTGGATTAGGTGGAATGGATTTCATTTCTCTCCCCATCGCTCATCAAGTGCTGAGATTATAAAGAATTGTTTCTTTGCTTTGGGTGTGCTATCCTGCTATAAGCGGTTAGCGCATCTAGTTAGCATTCGGAAAATACGTGGTTAGTTTTGTTATTTTTAGTATATGTTAGAATTCTTATTATAGTAGCATTTCTATTATTATATATACTCCTTATTCTCTCCAAAGCTAGATATCATGTATTATCGTTGTATTGTATCTCCGCTGTATTGCCGAGTTGTTTACTTATTTCTGTAAGCCTCGTAACATACTTTGGGAAATACGAGGTGTTTTGCATTCGTTTTCTTAAATAAATAAATAAAATAATCTTATGGGGGGTGCAAGTTGAATTTTCACGTTTCCTGCACCAAAAAGCTGAATAAATTTTCCAAGTACGAAAAATTGACATGGAACCTTAAAACTGATGTTACAGTAGGATCACAGTCCATTCATTTGGAGATTTAATAAAACTTTTGAGCTTTCAACATCCCTGTATGAAAATCAAAGCAAAATTAGACACAAAGAGAGAAAAGTGATGAAGCGTAACTTAAAATCACGTTCTAAAAAGAACTTCAAATGGATAAAACTTGACTACCTGAGAATACAATAGATTAACATTCATCTGCTACTGTTTTCTATGTTCATAATCGTTCCATGAAAAAATTCGTAGATTATTGCATCATAAGTCTGAATTTTAAGTATTTAAAAACAGAACTATTGGGCTATATCACCATTACGTAAGAAATGTATCTCACTTATTGAAAAACAAAACAAAACAAACAAACAAAAAAAAAAAATTGACACTCATGACTTACTCAAAAATGTGATTTCTTGTTTTCCCAAAAATTTCTGCTGTTTCTCGACATCTGAAGCCATTTTTCAGATCACGTAGATCACCTATGTAAGAGAGAAATTTGGTTTTATAAAATAAGAAAAATATTATTTAAACCAAAGAATTAAATTTACTTCTAATTACCTGCAGATATTTCTGCTGACATAAAATGCAGACAATATTTATTTCAAAGCTGCATGAAAAATAAACTTTTTATACTGATATTTTATACAGCGACGGTTGCAGCTAATTAGATTATTGTTAAATCATGCACCCGGAGTTAATTACGTAAGGAGTTTTGAGATTGTTTCCCTTATTTCAAAACTGGATTGTCTAATGGCCTTGTATTTTCCTTTTCCACAATTATATTTTGAAATTACACTTTTTGTACTGTTTTATTAAAGATTAAGAAACAAGAAATAGATTGTTTTGTGGCATCCTATTTAGTACCGCGGAATTGGTGGTTTTCGCCACTTCCTCATCTAAAGAGAACCTCTTCAACTGTCTTTTCAATGCAGAGAATTACTAAATCTCACATATTATTGTAGTATTTACAGACTGATTTCAAAAACTTCTGCAGCGGTGCTCGAAAACTTTACAGCAGCAACATGCAGCTGTGCATTGGTTCTGAAGCAAAGCACTATTCCTTGAGCAAATCGGTCTTTTCTTTTTTATTGCTTAATGGAGATGGCTTTTAAAACGTTTACATGATAGTCATTGTGACGCCATTTTTAAAGACCATGGCTATCTACCCATGGGTTGGCAATATTTACATTCATGATGGCAATATTTACATCCGTTATGCAATCAATAACCTTCCAAAGTGTGCTTTGCTATGTTATAAGCTTGGAGGGCTTCTATGATTGAAATAATAAAGTGAACTTAAAGTTTTTATCCCCCAAGCATGCTATAACATTTCAAGTGCTTTGCTACTGCTCTTTTTAAGTCTAATGCAAAATTCAATCCCATCTTTGCTGTATATTCATACAAACATCTTTCTCACCCACCACGATAAAATGTACTTTCTCTCGTAGTGACTAAATACTAACGGCCATAACTGTACAACCAAAGTTCAAACATACCAATGTATAACTTTCAGAAACTTGGGAATACATGGACACGTCTAATATCGGAAAAGATTCTCAGATACTCATCATTTTCCCATCAACCCATGTAGAAATTACAGAAATTTTCCACAGCAATTATATATTTCCGACTTCATTTTTAAATGTCAGTCAGTGTGTCAGTCTGTTAGTGAAGAGTTTATTCTTCCGCTGCATGTCTTTATTTAGAATATTTAAGTGAAAAATAAAAGCTAAATTCGTTACCTATGTTTTATTATACAGCTCGTCGATAATTTCATTTATTTATTTTTGGGTCATGAAAACTTTGATAAAAAGACTTTTAATTCAACTCCTCGACGTAACTGCTGCACATCATTATACTAAATAATTTCTCTGCATTTAATTTCAGTTTCTTCAAGCAATGCAACAAACTCAAGGATCTAGAGCTCTCTACGTTTACTGATTTAGTTATTCCTTCAATAACCTTAACCGTCTACAAACTTTTAGCACCTTATTTGCAACCAATAGATAACTCAAATATATTTGGGGGCCGCAACAGGCCACGAGCTGCCAACCTGACAAACTGAATTAGACCACAGCAAATAGAGGTTTAAATCTCTCTCTTTCCAAAATGTTGCTAGGAATATCGTGCATTTGTATCTGTTCGTGTAAATACATGATTGCGATCACTCATCAAACAAAATTTACATCTGCCTCTTAAAAAAAAACTCAATTTTGTTCGTGAGAGTTTGATTATGTTCGTTTACGATACCATTTTGAACTCGAATGTTTTGCCGTTGAAGTGAGAAGATACAGGCTTGTTCACGTAGTGACCTATTTCTGGTAAATCAATAAGCACTTCAAATCTCTTTTATATGAGTATTTGTAGATGCAAGAAGATATCTGTTTTTTTTCTCAAGTGCCTGTTTTTCTTCGTTATTAGAGCCATGAAACAGAACACTGGAACCTGTTGAGAGTGACAAAACAACTCCCATTTCTGCAGATTGTTTACCCAGTGATCGCAAACTTATGAAGCTTCTGAGCTACTGTACCTTTTTGAAATTCTACTGTGAGCTACCAACTTTAAAGAAAATCTTACATTTGTTTACTGCTTATAAACTTATATTTCTAGTAAATATGAAATTAATTTAAACTAAACTGTATATAGCGAAACGAAAGTGAAATTGAATTGTACATAAGAAATAAACTAAGTGTAGTTAGTAATAAATAAAAAATGTAATAAGAAATTTTTTATCAGACTTATTAATTTTAATGAGAATGATGGAACTCTTTCTTTTCTCATCAACAAGTTTTTAAATTTTGGGCGAGTAGGTAATGGTTGACATTCGAATACAGTTGTTCAAGTTTGTTTTTCGACTTATTTTTTAAATAAATTCCATGCTGGAAAAAGAAATCTCAAACAGATATATAGAGCTGAACATAATATTCACTTTGAGACAAACATGGACCAACATTTGGTATTTTTCTTCAGGAACAAGAAGCCAAATATTTTCAGAGCTTGCAAATCAATCAGTTCCAACTCTGTTGCAGCACTATCTTCTTGGAAATCAAAATACTCCATGAAACAAGTAGAGAACTCTTCAGCATCAACCTCTATTAAAGGCGATTTGACAAACTGTGCAACAAATGAAATACTTTTTAATTCTTGAAAGTGTGTGTTAAATTCACTTTTCAAATCTGAAATAATTTCAACGTATTATTCGCTGTTGTAAGGAGGCGTTGAAGACCCGTGCTTGTCAAGGGTTTGTTTTAAACAGGCAAAGTGTTTGTATTTAACTCGGATGATACGTTTTTCCAAGGTTCCAACTTATTTGAGAATGAAGCAACTTTTGAAATTGTTCCGCCACTATCTTTATCCTTACCTTGAAGCTGCAAGTTAAAGATATTAAACTTTTCAATGATGTCTACGAGAAATGTAAAATCCTGCAGTCGACCCGCATCTTCTAGTTCATAGAAGGATTAGCTTTGTTCTTTCAAAAATTCTACTAAAGCATGAAGCAACTCTTGAAAACGTTCTAAAACTCCGCCTTTACTTAACCAACGAACTTCCGTATGAAGCACTAGATTTCCATGCTGGCAATATAGTTCATCAGTCAGTGTTCTGAGAAAATATCTCTGAATTGCATGTGCTCTAACTTTGTTCACTATTTTACAAATGTTTTTATTACACTGTTCATACTTCCAAATTTTCCACATTGTGACTCCTGGTGTATTGCACAGTGGTAAGACAGAAATTTTGGAAAGCTGTTGTGTTTAGAACACAAACGAATGTTCCCTTCTTTCTGCCTAACATTGTAGAAAATCCATCATTACTAAGCCCACCAACTTATTTATAGGAATATTTTTAGAGTTGATAAGATCTTCAACTGCTAAATGTCTCCTGTCCTGCAGAGCGTCCTGTTAGCAGAATAATCGGGACCAGCTCCTCTCTTATTTTTCTTTCTCAAAACCATTCTTGTAAATACGACCAGTTGAGCTGTATCAACTACAGCAGTCGAATTGTCAAGTTGCGGGGACGAATAACTGTAGTGATAGAAGTCAGTTTCAAACTGTGAACTAATATCAAAACTCGTAACCTCAACGCTTCTCATTACGGTAGTTGCAAAAAGCTATACAGACTTCCAAAACGGCCTCGGATAACGAATAATGTCTCGATTTACAAACACTCCATCATTACGTGATTTTCAGTGATATTTTGAGGTAGCCTGAGCAATAACACTCAGGAACTTCTAAAAACATTATTTTAATATTTTCCATCAATTAACTTCAATTGACGAATCCTGGCAGCAAGTGACTTACAGGACCATGAATTCAGTTTGGAGGAAATTAAGGAGAGATTAAGTTATAGACAGAGACTTCGAACTCTTCAATACTTAGAACTTTTTTTGGGTTAGCCATAGGCAAAACCATAGGTTAGTAAATTAACAACGCGGAACAATTACTGAAGGACGTGGAGACGTGGAGCACTTACGTAGAACGGCAGACGCGGAGAATCACTGAAGGACCGTAGAAATAAGCTCAACAATAATGTATAAAAGCTTCAGAAGTAGTAACAAAAGACTATTGAACAAGAAAGTCATCAGAACATAAGGGATTAAAAAAAAGAGACCCTAATTCTCTGATCCGCGAAACCTAAGCAAAATGAGAGAAGATGCAAAGTTTTAACATAATAATATCACTCTGCTAAAATAATAGCAAGCTACAACATAAGTATTTTCAATGACAATGCCATGTCTTACTTTAGAAGCATTTAAAATACAGGTATCAAAATCTCACTGAAGAATTTGGTTTGAAACAGAAGCCCAATGAGCCTCAAGCAGAATCAAATAGTGCTTAGAGATGATTTTTTTTAAAGATACCCTTTAAAGACAGTTAATTATCTGATTTTTTTATGGAGGAGAATTCTCATCAAAAGAATGACACCTTCCTCGTCATCATGCATATATGAGGTCCACTTTCCTTCGTACACGTACAGTAAAATAAAATTAAGATTTTATCTATTTTATATGTTAAATGTTCTGTTTATCTTTTTTTGTTTGTTTTATATTTATTGGTTTCCATTGATTTGGGGTTATGAACATGTGCACGAAGTACTGGTGTAAGATTTAAATAAACTTCAATAAATCATCTGTGGTCTAGGAACGAATTAATCCATTTTACATAAATTTTGATAGGGAAAATTATTTTGATTTAGGCACATTTCGATTGACGAACGACTTTCGGAACAAATTAAATTGTGAACGAAGTTTTCACTGTAATCCAGTGAATCAATTCATCCGCCATTTTTCATAATTATTTAAGTACTTTCTTCTTGACATATTCAAAAACGTAATTCAAAATTTACCCTTCTGTCTAAGAAATCATTTACGCAGCTGTTACGAATATTTTATTTCCATTCTTCGGCTGTTCTCACCATAAATATGTTCTTTAATTAGTGTATATATACTCAAGAGCTTTCTAAGCTATGATCGGATAAAACATTTCAAATCTAAAAAATACCAGAATTTGCCAGCTGGGTTCGCTACGGCCTAATCGCCATTTAAAGTGGAAGAAAATTTAATGCAGTTTCTCCATCCTTAGCGCTCGCCTTCGTGCTATAACTGAAGTGCGGTTAGCAATTGGAAGTTTCCGAATTGGAATCCCATTGAAGACACAACTCACTTTACATGTTTATGCTTAAAAAAATCCTATTAATGCTACAACTATGCAAATCAATCCTATTTAGTCCCAGTTAGAGACGAATGATTACGGTTATTTATTAGCATAATATGTTACCAAAGAAAGGGTTTTACAGTTTGATCTAGATTGCAATAAAATTGAAAATTTATTAGCATAATATGTTACCAAAGAAAGGGTTTTACAGTTTGATCTAGACTGCGATAAAATTGAAAATTACTTGATCAAAAGATTAAGAAAATAATTTTTTGTCATATTAGAAAGATTGGTAATATTTTTAAATATTAAGAAAAGAATTCAAGTAAAAGCCATAACATTTAGAAATTCATTATAAGTGCCACAAATGCGAAATATTCTAACCATTTATTTTATGCCTCTTAATATTTTATAACTCAGAATGAGGATAATTATTATTTGACTAAATACTACGCAGAAGATTCTGCGCATTTTATATCTCATAAGGAATAATGCTGTAGTACCTTTATTAAACACTATTCTAATTAGAACGCTATATTTATATTCATTGACATTTGAGAGCATAAAGAAGTTTTATATTTACTAAGAAAAAATATAAAATAATTAATTATAAAAAATTGCTACTATATTTATAATTTAAGTTCGAAGAAGTAGATTTTTACAAACTTTAAATAGATACATTTAAAATATTTATGTCTTTCAAAAATTTTCTCATAATAAATTCGAAGTAATCTAAAATTCCTTTTTGATTGAGCTATGGAACATAAACTTTGAAAAAGTTAAAAAAAATAGAAATATTACCTGATATTTTGCATGCTAATAAGAGAACGCCAAATACCGTATATAAATTATATCCTACTTTTTTCATCTTGCTCAATGCAGAAAAAGCACATTTGGGTAAGTTATACTTTCAAAGCATGAATTTCATGCTGCTCTAAAGCAGCAATTTCTGTTGGAACAAAAAAATGAAACGTTTTAAAAGATAAATTAATTTCTGTTCACTTTTGATTTGTGATGCGGATGCTAAAGGAGGAAATGAATGGGCTTCCTTGATGCTATTGCAGATAAGAGAGAATTACTTGGAAATATCACTTTGAGATAGAAATGTATTTAATTTTATGATCATTAACCTTTAATCTTTTCCTGAATGGATACAGAAATCGAAAAAAATTATGCATTCAGGTCTAAGTATATATACATAAAACACCCTCAGTCTGCTTTTAGAACAATGTCGTTAATTAGATAAATTTCAGATACCAATCTCATTGCTAAATAGACAGAGCAACGATTTAATATGAGTTCTGCTATCGTTAAAGTTTTATATCGATGTTTTTTTACTTCCTTGTACGAATTAAAAGGAAGTATTGTAATCGCGAAGAGTTTCAGGCAGCATATTTCAACGAAAATATCCATTTTGACCGCTATCGAATTAAATTTAACGATGTTTTTGCGTGATATCTGTATATAAGGACAGAAGGACAGAATAAAAGACTCTTTTCCTCCAAAAAAATTATAAAACTGCTTTAAAATGAATTCTGAAGAGAATTTTTCGTGCCGTATGTACGAACGTATGTACGTACGTACGTGCGTACGTATCTCGCATAACTCAAAAACGAGTAGCCTCAGAACGTTGAAATTTTGTATATAGGACTGCTAATATATGTATATGAGCACCTCGTATTTTGGTTGCAATCGGCCGCACCAAACGTATATAAATATATTTATATATATATCCACTCTGTTACCCGGCTCAGTGATCTCAGTTTCTTTACTCTTATATGTTTGTAAATTGTACATTTTTTGCTTTAAAAATGATTGAATTATATTGTTATTATCTTCCTGTTAAGGGGTTTACGCCTTTAGTAAATCTGTGTGCAATATTTTTAGAATTATCAACAATTTTAAAGTTGTTTAAGTGCCGCTAAGCCCTTTTTATTTTGACGTCGGCCATTGATTGTTTACATTTGAAAAAGCAGCTAGTGGATTTGTTGCCAATCTAGAGAAACTTAGCTTCGCAATAACAAAGATAACGCCTTCATTTATTATTGTCAATTAAATCATGCTTAATCCTTTCTGGAATATCTATATTAAAATTTATAAATATATTAAAATTTACTTCGTAATTTTTTAATATAGATAGTTTGAGTTTTAATGTATTTTTGCCTTCTCGCGAAGTGAGAGAACTGAATTAATTGAATGAGAAATACTCAATGTCTGTGAAAAACTGCTTCTTTTTTGTTTTGTTTGCTTAATTTTTTTTATACATCATTCTAGCTTTATAATAGTATTTGAATAGAACATGTGGCAACGATTAGATAATTCTATTCTTATAAAATGATATAAATTTTGTGCATTATAGTTATAATATGAACGAAATATAATACTGTTTAGTGAATCTAGCGCCAGAGTATCGCTATGGTAAACAAATACTAGAGTTAATTTTAAAGAATGCATTTATTCTATTGTGGTTTATGCGCTGTCGGCGAAGTAGATTTAATTCCATCCAATAAGTTTAAATGAAATGAAAAAAAAAAAAATGCGTATAATTTAATATTCCGTACAAGGAAGTCATTTGGTGTACACATCAGATTTTTTTATTCTTATTTCTAAGCTAGAAATATCCGTAGTGCAATCTTGTAACATTTTCACAAAATTACACTGTTTATGTTACTTTATGTTACAATACCATCAACGTATCTGCACGAAATATAATATCTTTAATCTATCTTCCATGTGACCTCAAGCATTATCAATTTTCATTTGGCAAAACATAAAACATTTAATTTAGATTCTGAATAAAACCAAAAAGAGCATTTCTTCATAATTTAGAACTTTATTTTGTAGTATAGCTAATTGATTCAAATTGAAATACATGTAAAATTGTTGTGATCACTAGAAGATTATATGTCATTAATTTCGTATCAGAGGCTATTACGATTTTTGCATTAGGAAACGTGAAAAATTAACTATGCCTCACTGCGATTCGACCCACGAATCTTTCAGTCTGATAGGTGAACATGTTTACCATTTACACAATTAGAGCTCTTGCGGAGAAAGTTGTACTACCTTACAATTTGGCTGGATTACATTTCTTACCCTTTTCATATTTCTAGGTGACAATAAACGGCATCACATGCTCTTCTTCTTCAACAACTGCCAGATCACTTCTAAAATTCCTTACAATAAAACCTGGTTACAAAACTTATTTTATTTATTTATTTACAGACGCTATTTACACACCTTTAAAACGCTTTCCGGACAGTTTAATTAATGCTTAAATGTGTAAGAGTAATGCAACCAGGAGTAAAGAGTATTTTTAGAATGTTGATCTGATAGCCCTTTTTCTGGACTATATATTCGCATTATGATTCCCATGACTGACGGCTTTTCGTAAAATTTTTAGGGGTATTGATTTCTATTATTCTTCAACTACTTTCCAGACAATATTAATTGTGGTAGGTTTGTGCTTAGAAAAAGGCTCTTTTCAAGAGACCAAAAGTACAGTAGTCCATAGTTGAAACATGAGGGGATTTCTCAGGAATACACTAAAAAGGTATTTAATACCTATAGACTTTTTCATTTTTTCAAAGAATGCAGTGTTACTTTTCTAAATGCTACTTGTGTTTTGTCTCGATGAAGTTTCATTCTTTGAAAGTCACTGGGATAAGAAACGGAATTTGTTCTGCAATATCGAACAACATTCTGTTATTAATTTTGTTTCAGAGGTTCATTTTAAAAAAGAAATTGCCCAGATTCTAGTGGTTCGTGAGTTCATTTCAGCATATTTTTCTACTCTACTTATTTTTTATTTTTCATTGTAATTTTTTTTTGTGTGTGTGTGTGTATTGACGGAACCAGTTTTTCACATTTTGTTCTCTTCGTTTTCGATAATCAATAGACCTTTATTTGTTGCAGTCATTTAGGTAAACCCATGCTTCATCAAAGGTCATAATGTATCTCAATTTATCTCCTGTGAAACAGTTTTCATACAGGATTCTATAAATTGTTCTGCGTTGAGTCAAGCCTTGGAAAAAGTTATGTTTTTTAGTTTTCTAGAGTTGAAAATATTCAATTATTATTTCATTTATTGGTGCTAAAATTGCATTTAAAGACTCTGAAATTGATTTCTGCCTTGACAGATTTTCCGTACCAATGATTTAACTTCAGAAACACTAGAAACAGTACGTACATTTTTCTTCTTTCCCTGGAGCAGTAATGACTAACGGTTTTTCCCTTTCTGATTAATAATGTTGCTTATTTTGCACTTAAAAATTTTTAATACTTTGATAACTTTTAACGAGCAGATTTTTTCCTTCAAATTAAGTAACGTAAATAACCATTCACATTTAGCTATTTTTGCTGTCTAGTTTGTACATCAATTTTAAAGTTTTAAAAGATATAAATCTTTCTTCTAAAATTCTAACTTGCACTTGACAGCCGCTTTTTTAAATTGTGTCTGATTAATATCGCTAAACATTCGCACTGACAAAAATTAAACTCAGTTTAAATTGCAGATTCTTTTCTGTCGAATTCTCGTTAAGAAAACGAAAATATGAAGACATGTTTAATTCAATCATTAAATCATTCATCTGTAGAAACTAAAATTGTAAACTAACATCTACTGCACTTTGTAGATTGAAAAACACAAAATAAGATTTAAAATCACCATTTGTAATTCTTTACAAATCTACGCAATTTCTTTTTTATTCTGGAGAGATTGTTTTCCCTAAATCATCATCATTAACTAACTCCTAAATTGTTACATAAATCCTCATTTCCCAGTAATTCTGCAAGCTTCTAGAATACTAGCCTTCTCTTTAAATTTTATATCTTTGAAGCGCAACTAAAGGCTTTATAAACTCCTAGCATATATTGGAGCTCCAAAGGCAGCACTATTCAGGTGATCAGTTTTACAATCATTAGGTTTATCGAAGCAGAAAACATGTAAAATGCGCAGTACAGTCGCCATGGTTCGAACTCTGAAACTTCCGAATTTTAATAAGACGAACTTTCAGTTCAACCACGAAGACACGTTGTAAGGAATGAGAAAATATCTTGTATTTTCCTCTCACAAGAGAGGCTGGGAAGCAGAGACCCTAGTCGCTACATATAGAAAACTTGAGAAATGCTCTCTCTCTCTGGATTCGAACTCCGGACTTCCTGAGCGCTAGCCGAATGTGTTTCCGATTGCACCAAAGGCAAGTGGTAGGGAAAGAGAAATTAATTTAATTTGTTTCTTCTTCCTAATTTTTGGTAATTTATACTTTCTAGAAAAAATAGGAAAATTCGAGAATACATGATTCAAATAAAACAGTAGCTGGTTAATCAGAATTAAAATAAATCTCAAAATTCTACGTATATCCCTTTTTAATAAAAAAATGGTTTATAAAGAAAAGTATCACCCATTTTTATTAGAAATAAGAAGTGACTCCAAGTGATCATTTTTCTATACCAATAATAAATTTCTTACCTAAATAATAAATTTCTTACCTAAGTCTAACTCTTCAGCCGAGAAAAGTGAAACTTTAAATCTGCTGTCTCAGGAAGTCGAGCCATGGGTCTTACAATTTCCCTCAGAATGTCTTTCACGAAGATTTCTGTTTTTGAAAAGCAATCGTCATCTATTTTACAATAACTAAATGCTTAAAGTTGTACAAGCCATTACGCATTTTTAATGTGACATTTTTATGTAGAGAGAAATAAGCCATGCCATTGAGGAGACTCGAATTCTGGACCTTCCGATGTTAGCTGGACGAGCTTTCTAGTTACACTAAGAACGCATGCGATAAGAGATGACACGTGATGGAGGAAACAAAACTCAGTTGCGTCTACACTTCATTAAACTTTAATCGATCAATTTATTAAAATTTAAGAATGAAAACTGTATTATTTATTATATCTTTATTGTCTTTAGCTTAGGCTTTCAATTTTG